GTATGGTTCTTCAGCTATAATCCTTGTCAGCATTGTTTGTGGATACATTAGTGCCTAGACTGTGGGTGGTCTGGTTATGCTGGTGTTGTATGGTTTTGCTGGGCGAGGTGCTCCTGTGTGGCTGGCTGTCAGGTGTGACAGCTGTGTGTCAGCTTTCCCTAGATGCAAATCTGTCTCCTGGGGAATGGAAGCTGCCTGGGTTTGACAGCTCAAGTCTTAGGTTTTCTGCTAGGTCTAGCTCTGAGCAGCTGAGGTCATGATGTTGCAGCCACCTGTGTATGTTGGTGGAATGAGGGTGGAGAGTCAAGAATGGAGGAATGCACTTCTAGCAGTAGGGCTGGGTGCAAGATGGAACAGAGTTGGACTAATTTTCCCAGGGAGCGATCCTCTGGGAAATCTGGTTTCAATCTGAGGAGAGAAAGAGGCTTACAATTCTGCATATTTCTGTGGATGGGATGAAGAGGAGGTCTTGTTGTTCCTGGTAGAATTTCACTCAGTCCAGTTACTTATAGGAATGTGCCTCATTTCTATTCACATTTGGGCTTCTTTTGTTCAACATCCCCACAGAGTAAGCCTGAAGATTTCTTCCTGGATAGAGGAGCACCAGGCATGGCTGTATAGATTCAGGGCACATCTGGGATGAGTATGCTATTATACACATATAGGATACTTACTATAGCTAGAATCTAAATTGATAGCACTTACACATATATAAAGTTGAGTGGTACCCACAGGTGGCTAACATCTGTGGGGGACAGAGCCAGCACAGCTGGAGAGCAGCAACCCTTTGAGGCAGGTGATGGTGGGAAGGTACTGAAATTTCAGTAGTGAATGGACAGAACTCATTAAAAAAATAGAAAATTTGGAGTGTGAAACAGAAGAGAAATACTGCCTCAGCACCTGGAGCACAGATCAGAGTCCAGTGGCAGAGGGCGGAAACTGGCAAAAGAGAAGGAGAGTGAGTCTCAGAAAACACACACTGTAGTTTCATTTGTGAATAGACACAACTTGTGGCATGGAGGAAGAGAAAGAGCTTCAGCACGTGGAACTTGCAGAAGCGCTGCAGCAGAGGACAGGGGCTGAGATGAAAGAGTGAGAAAACAACACTGGCCTCAGTACCACGTCTAAGTAGACACAGGTCCTGGAGTCTGTATGACATACTGGCCGTGGGAATGCTCTTTCTTCTTCCTGGCGTTGGGTCATGGTATGGTGGTAGGAGGTCATTTTGAGTGGTGTCTGTTTGAGTTGTCATTTGAGTCATAGGTCTCTGTATTGTCCTATCTCTAGGAACTCCCAGCTAGGGTCGGGCCATGCACTGATCTGCTGAGTGCTGGCCTGAAGAACTGGTCTAGCTACAGAGGAAAGACTTTGATTCAGAGACACTGAGAGTTCCACATAGTAGGGAACCAGTCAAAGCCCCAGGGGGAATAGAAGCTACTTCTGTTTGGAGCCATAAATCAGGGAAGCTGCTATGAGAGCTTCCAGGACTGGAATCAAACAGTTGCAAGTGATCTTGGATAGGAGCTACACTGTGGAAAGTTGGAGTATGCATGCATTCCATCCCAGTGCATATCCTGGTGCCCCAACAGGATACCCTGCCACATGACCACACATTTGAAGGCCCTGGAGGTGTAGGACCAGCTGTTGGCAAGCTTGGGCCTAACCCTGATCAGCTTGGTTGAGATCTTTCACAGATGTCTGCATGCCCCTTTTCTTCTTTTACATTTCCCTCTCCTTCCTATTAATATTTAGTTTTTCTTTGGCACTGCCCTGTTTTATTTTCCAAGACTGGGCTGTTACTACTGGGCTCAGCTGGCTTGGACTTTGGTCTCCCTGCCTCAGCCTCCTGAGTGCTGAAATGGTACGTGAGTCACCGGTCTCACACAGGTGTTTTTTTGGTGGGGGGAGCAGTACTAGGGTTTGGATTCAGGGCTTTGCACTTGCTAGGCAGGGGTTCTACTGCCTGAGCCATGCCTCTAGCCCTTTTTGCTCTGGTTATTTTGGAGGTAGTGTTTTGCTTTTTGCCCTCTTATGCTTCCTGCTGCAGCTGGGATGACAGGTATGCCACCATGCTTTTTTTTTGTTGAGATGGAGTCTCATAAACTTTTTTGCCAGACTGGCCTGGGGCCAAGATCCTCCTGATTTCAGCCTCCATTGTAGCTGGGATTACAAACATGCATCACTGTGCCCAGCTGTTTGTTGAAATGGGGTTTTCTAAATGTTTTGCCCAGGCCGGCCTTGCACCTTGATCTTCCCAATCTCAGCCTCCCAGGTAGTGAGGATTTCAGGTGTGAGCCACACACAGTTTTTAAGGTTTAATCCTCTTTTCTTACAGTCTACCTTCTTTTTCCTTCCTCCCATTTTAATTCTTTCTTTCTTCAGTTAGACCAGTTTTCTCTATTATTTCTTCTTTCTTATCTTTCCCCCTTAAATTTTTTTCTTTGTTTTCATTTTTGTTGTTGTTTGTTGGATTTTTCTTTTTCTTTTTTTACCTTTAGCTGGATCTTTCTATCTCTTCTTTATTGTTTCCCATTCTATTTACTTTTTCTCTTCTCCTTCCAGTTTTTTTTCCCTAGTATTATATTACTTCTCAAAGTTTTTCTTATTTTTGTCCATTCCCATTCTTGGTAGCACTGGGATTTGAACTCAGGGCCTCATGCTTGCTAGGCAGGCTTACCCAGGTGGCTTACCACTTGAGCCACTCCACCCCTTCTCCATTCCCATTCTTATTAACTAATATCTTCTTTTTTCACTTGCTATTATATTTTCTCCTTTTTATCTTCTTATGTTATGGAGTTGTGGTGGTAATCATTTTTAATTGGTTATTTTTGTATTTCTGTTACTGGTTTGTCTGGGTTTTGGTTGCTACTGCATTTAATTTTCTTCTCTCTGAGGGGTGTTGGGGTTTGAGATTGGTGCCTTGAACTTGTTTGTTGGGTGTTTAACTCTTGAGCTATACCCCAAATCCAGTTGTGAGAAACTGTACCTCAACTTTTCACAACCTAGTCCTGTCTAAACCTTGGCAAATAATTGAACTGAAAGAGTACAGAAGATTAAACCTTCTAGCCAACGTCTTAGTCCCCGGTGTACAAATCCCAACTCTGAAATAGAAGGAATAATGGAAAGACAATGCAACATGACTCCTCAAAAAAGAAATTCTGGTCAAAGAATTTAAAGTAATTATAAGAATAATCAACACACTCATAGAGAGCATGAACAAACATCTGAATAAAATCAAAGAGAATACAAGTTAACAGCTGAATGAAATAAGGAAGACAATTCAGAATGTGAGGGAGAAACTCAATAAAGAAATAGAAATTCTGGAAAAAAGATCAGATTGAAATTTTGGAAGTGAAAAGTTCAATAAATTAAATAAAAAACTCAGTTGAAACCTTCATCAATAAATTAGATGGACTGCAAGGCAGAATATCAGGGTCTGAAGACTGCATAGATAAATTAGAATATTCAGACAACCCTAAAATTCATACAGGAGCACAAAAGACCCTGAATAGCCAAAGTAACCCTAAGACATAAAACAATGCTGAATGTATCACATTATCTGATTTCAATTATACTATAGCGACATAATAAAAAAACATTGTTGTGTTGTCACAAAAATGGACACAAAGACCAATGGTCTGGAATAGAGGACTCAGAAATAAACCCACACAGCTATAGCCATCTGACTTTCAACAAAGGTGCCAAAAACATACATTGAGGAAAGATAGTTAAAATAATTTGTGCTGAAAACTGAATATCCACAAGTGGAAGGTTGAAACTTGACCTACCTCTCACCCTGTACAAAAATCAACTCAAAATAGACCAAATACTTTAATGTAAGACTAGAAACTTTGAAACTACTGATGGGAAACAGAAGAAACACTTCAAGATAAAGCATAGGCAATGAGTTTCTTAGGAAATAATAATAAGAATTGACAAATGTGAGTGCATCAAACTGAAAAGTTTCTGCACAGCAAGCAATTAACAGATTATGGAGAGAGCCTACAGAGCAGGAGAAAATCTCTGTTAGCTATTTACCTATTAGGGAAGTCCGGAATATATAAAGAATTCAAACACCAAAAGATCAAATCAACAAATGGACAAATGAACTGACACTTTTGAAATGAGAAATACAAATGACCAATAAATACCTGCAACAATGTTCACCATCTTTAGCTATCAGGGTAACACAAATCACAACTACACTTTGAGAGTCTACCTCATTCCAGTCAGAAAATGTGGGGCAGAAGGAACCCTTTATACATTATTGGAGGAAATGTAAATTAGTGGCGCCACTATGGAAAACAGTATGGAATTTCCTCAAAAAAAATCTAAAAATAGGACTACCATGTGATCCATCTGTGCCACTCCTGGGTATGTTGTCAGTGGTGAAAGGCAGCATACAATAGAGATACCTGAACAACCATGTTCACTGTGCCTGTGTTCACAATGGCCAAGTCCCACAATAGCCTAGGTGCCCATAAATGAGTGACCGGATAAAGAAAATGTGATATATATAAACAATGGAGCATTATTCAGCCATAAAGAAGAATGAAATTATGTTATTTTCAGGAAAATGAATGATACTGGACATCATCATATTAAGTGAGTGAAATAAAACACAAGAAGACAAATACAGCATTTTTTTCCCTCATGTGGAATCTAGATTTAAAAAAAAAAAAAGGTCTTGAAAGTAGAAGAACTATTTGGGAAGAGAAAGGGGACTAATGAGGGGGTGGAGCCGGGAAGCAAGAGAGGATAATAGGGGGGGAGAAGAAACACTATCAAAGTACCTTATGTACATGTATGAAAATATAATGAAATCCACCGTTTTGAATAATTAATATATGCCAATGAAAAAAGAAATATATAAGGTTTATATCTCTATAAACATACTGATTTAATAAATGTTTTTAAAAGACAGAATTGCTCAAGAAGGTGATTCAGTGACATACCTGTTTCCAGGCTGCTTATTTGTTCTTTGGTTTGATTTCTTTCAGAACAAATTGGAGCTTTGGCAGATCAGCACATCATTCATGTGGCATGTGGCGAGTCCCACAGTCTGGCCCTTAGTGACCAGGGTCAGCTGTTTTCGTGGGGTGCAGGGAGTGATGGTCAATTAGGACTCATGACTACTGAGGATTCGGTGGCAGTGCCCAGGTAAGAATGTCACAAAAAGGAATCTGGGTTACAAATGCCAATTAAAAAAAATCACTTCTGCTGTTGCTTTGGTAGACTTCTTGAGTTTGTTCTGTTTTCTTCATTTAATTGCTGTTTTCCTCTTGCTGCTGTTATGCTTTACCCTGTTACAGCACTTGTCACAAAAGTTGTAATTATTCATAGAAATGTCTGTCTTGAGCTTAAAATTGTGAGTTGATGGGGGTCTTTGTACATTTTAGTAGCTGTGTTTGTTACTAGCTGAGTTCCTAGATCTTCATACATGTTTGAATAAGAGGGCATCTTTTCACACCTTAGACTTAAGATCATAAGTCTTAATTACTAGTTAAGTATTTAAAAATAGAATCACAAGGCTGACTCTACTACTATGCCAAATTACCTTACATATTACCAATAGATAAAATACAAATGTAGACTCTTTAACACAAAAATACTAATACAATGGTTTTGCGTTGCCTGAGTATTTTAATTCTAAATCTTAGATGATTTAGCTAAATAGCTAATAAATGCTTCACCATTAACAAAATATCCTCTGTGGAGGTCTCCTTAAGCCAGCCCTGGGAGCTCTGTCAGTGGGGAGAAAGTTAGTGTGTGTCCCCATGGGACTACTCAGTAGCTCCTCCTCTGACAGGTAGGCCCAGTATTCATAACAAAGGGCGGCCTACCTATGTCCACCTGCGACTCCTGTCCACCAGCCTGATATTCTCACCTAGTACTGGTCCTGACGTTAGAAACTTGGGTCCTACCCTCAGTCTTCCCTAGGGCTGTCACCTCTTCAGAGAGGGTAGCAGGAAGTAGATGCATCATGGGTCACTTGCAGAGGGAAGAGAGAGAAGAAAGAAAAAGAAAACAAACTCATAATATTGAAATTGCTTCCAAATGGACTTTTTGGGAGTGGGGGGGTCTCAGTTTCTTGAGGGATTTTTATAATAAAAGAGGTTATTGGTAAATTTCCTTCATTTACTTTCTATTCTTTTATTCTACTAATGTACCACATACCCTTGTACTAGTTCTTGTCACATTCTTTGTAATTGTTTATTTTTTTGGTAGTGCGGGGTTTGAATTCAGAGCCTTGTGCTTGCTAAGCAGGCACTCTACTGCTTGAGCCACTCCTCCAGCCTGGTAATTGTCTAATACTTACTTTTAGTTCAAAGCTGTGAGCTCAGGGTGGCAGGAGAAATAGGCTATTTATTCTAATGTGTAAGAGTGCTTGACCCCTACATTGCTCAGTACAAGTTTGTTTAATAAATGATCTCTTCTCACCTGCTTATTGTTCCCTTTTAAGGAGAGTATATTCTTCCTCTTTCTTTTTTGTTCTTCTGAAATTTTCGCCTCCTTAATAAAAAACAGTTTTAAGGAAAAAAAAGGAACATGGAGATTGAGTGATTTGATTTCATTTCTTGATTTAAAATACATTAATGGCTTCCAAAAATTAATTTAATTTCAGGGGAAGAGGGAGAATGACAGTAAGAAAAGAGGGGTGATGTATTTTGGTTGTATGTAATATTAAGGAAAAGATTAATAATATTAGTGACAAATGTATTTGATTTGTTGATGAGCAAAGACTCTATTAAGGTTTTTAAATGGCATTTTGTTTCTAAAAATGAAATAATCTGTTATAGTAATTAGTCATGTCTGAGGTATAGATGACTTTCAAGGATTCAGTTTGTGTCTAGTTTTACATTATAACTTAATGGAAATAAATTCATTAATACCTTGGTTTTGTAGAAAGGAATAACTTTGAAATCAGATGGCTTTGTAGGCTAATACTAGCTATGTTACTTATAAGGTGAAGACCTTGAGCAAATTATTTAACTTTTCTAAGCCTCAGTTTCCTAACATAAAAATGGCATTATTTGTTGTGTACCTTAAGGAGTTACTGGGAAGAGAAAATGAGATATGCAGGTGAAACACAGTATGTGTTTGCACCATAGATACTCCTTCCTCTCCATCATAAGTGTACAATTTCTGCATTATTTCTTTGTCCTTTTGACCTGTTTCCTTTCTGTAAATGATTGTGACGGTTGTGACAGGGTAATGTTGATCTGTTATGGTGAATTTGAGTGGAAACTAGATAGAAGAAAGGGCTGTTAACTGCATAGCACTCCTGAAACATTGTTCCCCATGATGGCAATGCATTTTCCAATTTTTAAAAATAGTGGATACACATAACAACTTGGGTGAATATCCAGGGAATTATTCTGAGTAAGAAAAGTCTATCCCAAAAGATTACCTACTATATGATTCCATTGCTACTTTATTAAAACAAAACTTTAGAAGTGATCTTGGTTGCCAGGGGCTAGGGATGGGGGATGAGGGAGGGGAAGAGGGGTTATAAAATTGCAACATGAAGAATCCTTGATGATGGTGGTGGGTATGTGAACCTCCGCAGGTGACATAATTCATGACTGGAATGTGACTCAATGATAGATACTTTCCCAGCATATACTTGGCCTTGGTTTTGATTGTCAGAATCACAAAACAAATAAATAACAAACAACAAGCCCACAAACATACTTTAATTTAAAAATTTAAAAATTCTTTATTGCTAAGAAAATGCTAACAGTCATCTAAGCTGTTGGAAAAAATGGCACCAACAGTCTTGCTACATGCAGAATTGACATATTCCTTCAATCTGTAAAAGATGTAGTATCTGTGAGGCTCACTTGAGTGATGTGCAGTAACATGAGGTATGCCTGAACCACACTTTATGTAGCCATTCATCCATGGTGGTCACTTGGATTTCTTCGACCTTTTGGCTATTGGGAGTAATGCTGTTAGGAATATGAGTGTTTAAATATCTCCTTGGAACTCTGCTATCAGTCCTTTTGAATATATAGCCAGAAGTAAAACTGCTGAATAATGGCATAGCCTTTATTTTGAAAGCCATTTAGATATTGTCCGTATTTTTAGGGATTTTTCTTCTGTAGCTTATTCCGTTTGTCCCTTTGTGTGTCTAAGAAAAACAAAATGTCTATTCTTCCTCTGCTCTCACATCACAGTCAACACAGAAGACTTCTGTGACCCTTCAGCAAGCAATTCTGCAGCAGCAGATATCAGGCTGTATTCTCTCATTCAATTCAGTTCTGACACTGTCTCCCTGGAACTAGCATCAGACCCCACAGGTTGAGGGGTCAGACTGCCTACCCCAAACTTAGATGCCATTTGTAAGACTCAGGTTGTCTTACCTGTGTTTCTTATGGACTGGCTATGAATTGGGGTGCCCATAACCTTCTCCTCCAGTTCAGTTGCTTTGAGTGGCTCACAGAACTCAGGGAAACACTTAGGTTTACCAATGTATTATGAAGGATAGAGATGAAGAGATACATAGGGAGAAGGGTGAGGAGCTTCCATTGCCTTCCATGGTATTCAGTAATCTGGAAGCTCCCAGATCCTGGCTTTTTGGTGTTTTATGGGTTCTTCATTGTGCATGTATGAGTGATTATATCCTTAGCCATTGGAGATCAACTTCACCTCAAGCCCTCTCTTCCCTCACCAAAGATTGGGGGATGGAATTGAAATGTCTTAACACTTTAATCCTGCCAAATTTTTTCTGGTGATCTGCCTCTACTCTGAAGCTACCTAAGGGCTGTCAGCCATTAGTCAGCTCATTAGCATATATGAAGACATTAATCACTTTAACAATTACAAGGATTTTAGGAGTTCTATGCCACAATATCACTCCCTGAATTGGAGATGAGGTAGGAAGTAGGATTGTGGTAATGAGTCTAAGTGCAGGAGTGTTTTTGTTTTTTATTTTAAGCAACAAATACCTAATAGAATTTATGTCATGTAAGATTATATATTTGATTTTTAAAAATCTTTTTAGGCAAGGTGATGTTATTTATTACAAGTGTTTCTGATAACTGTGTTTGTGTGTGAATGCCATTTCAAGAAAGTCTTTCTTGTTCTAGGTTAATACAAAAGCTGAACCAGCAAACCATATTACAAGTTTCCTGTGGCAATTGGCATTGCTTGGCTCTTGCAGCTGGTAATGTAACATTAAATATGTGTTCATATTATTAATTTTGAAGGCATTTATTTGCTGCAGTTTTGTGTTATCTAACTTGAAAGCTTTAACTGGTTAGGGTTCGTGTATTGTTGTTCTCAGACATCCTTTGTATAGCTCATCCTTTCTTCCAGACATGGCTTATGGAGGTGGTCACCATTGCTGCTCCAGCTCTCACAGGGAAAGATGAATAGGAGCCAGGACTGTATGTAGGTGTTCTTGAGCATAGAGAAGATTTTTTAAAAGCAACAGCTTATTCCTATTCTCAAGCTCCATTCTACCTTTAAGCTTCCAGATAACTTTAAAGGCAAGAGTTAGAAAAATGTAAGCCAGCAAGTATGGTATTCCATACTCTGTTAAAATCAATGTGCACTTTATGTCCTACTCACTCACCTGCAGAGTGATCCAGGTAGTCATAGCTGGACCTCCAGAAGTCTGTAGTCTCTTGGTCTTAGTGTGTCAGAACTAGTTCAGCTTGTAGATATAAGCCTGGTAATCAGCCTGTTCAAAATGGAATTTACTCAAACCTTTAGTATGTCCTTTGCATAAGTGTTAATAGCCTTTGAAGGACAGTGAGACTCAGTTTGTCTCTGTTGTTATGTCAAGTGGTAATTTTGGTGTTGATAATCTTATAGCATGAATTGTGTTCTCCCTTGCTCTTGGGTGGGTTTGGTGTGTATGGTATGGGGACAACTGAACAATGACTAATATTAGTAGATTATTTTTGTATATAAACCTTGTATCACTTTTTGTAATACCAGTTATCCTGTTATTATTTCAGATGGCCAGTTCTTCACATGGGGAAAGAACAGCCATGGGCAGCTGGGCCTAGGGAAGGAGTTCCCTTCCCAAGCCAGTCCCCAGAGGGTGAGGTCCCTGGAGGGGATCCCACTGGCTCAGGTGGCTGCAGGAGGGGCTCATAGCTTTGCCCTGTCTCTCTCAGGAGCTGTTTTTGGCTGGGGAATGAATAATGCAGGGCAGCTAGGGCTCAGTGATGAAAAAGGTAGGTAAAGTCTTTATTATGTACTCTCAAGTTCAAAAGTACATTCATTTGTTTAACAAATGCTTTTTGAGAATCTGCTATGTGTTGGTCCCATGTTAGGGACTGAGGAACCAGCAGTGAGCAAAACAGAACATCTGTGGTTTAGTGGAGACTATTCTAGTGGATGGGTGCAGACAACAAACCAGCAAATACATAGTAAGTCAGAGGATTTGAGAATGTGCTTCCTGTTTTACAGAAGATTTCTCTGATAAGAATGTATTTGAGCAGTGTCCTGTAGCAAGTCAGGTAGAAAGTGGGACTTGTTATCTGGGTGAAGAATGTTCCAGTCAAAGGGAAGAGGATATGCAAATGCCCTGATGTGGGAGGATGAGTGAGTGGGGTGGAGGGAGCAAAGGAGGAGGAGCAGAGCTGAAGTCAAAGGTAGTACAGGCTGTTACCAGGGCCCTGTAGGGCAGGGTGAATATTTTGGCTTCCTTTCAGTGAGAGGGGAAGACACTGAGGGTTTTGAGGAGTGATCTGGTTTGACTATGGTGGGTCAAGGGGGAAGACTGGTTTGGCATGGTGGTGCTTGTCTGCAATCTCAGTACTCAGGAGGCTGAGGTCAAAATTAGCCTAGACTACATAGTGAGACCTCATCTCAAAAAAACAAAAACAAAGATGAGGGGTATTGGATTTTTGTACACTGTTTAATGATGAAGTAGGTTGGTTATGTTCATTCTTGTGTGCTTTTAAACAAGAGAAAACCTGGAAGGATAAAGTAAGGTATGTGTTTGGGGTGGGGCAGGGGAATGGGGTGAGTGGGGAGAGTTGGAGAGTATGGGGAAACCATGCATTGGGTTTCAGATACATTAAAATCTCTATCCAAGTAGAGGTGCAGGCAGAAAGCTGTGTATGTAAGTCAGGAAACTAGGGGAACCCAAAGTTCATAATTGTGTGTTTTTTAGGCCAGTGGTAGTGACTTTCTGAGGCTTGATTTATTCTAGATCGAGAGTCTCCGTGCCACGTGAAACTATTACGAACACAGAAAGTTGTCTATATTAGTTGTGGAGAAGAACACACAGCAGTTCTCACAAAGGTAAGGAGTCAGAGGACTCTGATGCAGGGTGTGAGAGGGTGATTTTAATTTATTGTCTTAGAACAGTCATGGGGTTTAATTGCAACATTGTGTCTCAAACTTGACTGTTCTCTTTATCTTTGGTTCATTGATTCCAAAAGAATAGAAAAAGACTCCCTTTTTTTATGTTTGTGTTTTCCTCTTAGGTAATTTTGTAGATAGATTTTCTTAGTAACGTGTAAAAATAGTTCAATATAAATAACTCTAAAAATACAGTGCATGTTTGTTTATATGCATGTATATATATAACAATATCCTATATTCCATTTGAATACCTAAAAGAAATAGCAGTTTAATGTTTCAAAATTATCAGTCTGTTTCTTTTGTTTCTAAATGCAGTTACATTCTAGAAAGAATGAAAATATATTTTCATATCGAGAAAATACTATTATATATTTACTTTAATAAAATATCTTAGTATTTGTCGACATACAGCTATAAAACAAATTTATTTAATGAGTTTGCAGAACACTTAATTTCTTCTCTGTGAATGATCATGCAAAATCATCTCATTTCACCTGTTTCTCCTTTAAAAATTCTGCCTCCTAACACATTACTCTACTTTTAAACAATTTTTAAAGTTTACAGGTGACACATTCCTTTGAGCAGTGCTTTCTTTGTTCTATAAAGATGAGGTCTTTTTATGTTTTTATTCTTTTTCTCTTTAATGAATGTTCTCAAGTGATTTCAGTATCAGGTGAAGTATTAGGTGAGTGTAGTGTCTTGTACAGATCATCGTGATGGGACTTTTGTATACAGGTTTTAGAGTAGTATCCTCAAATTCAGAGATACAGTGAAGTTATATGGTGCTTGTTCCTTGTCAGAGTGGAGGTGTGTTTACCTTTGGTGCTGGTTCCTGTGGGCAGCTTGGACATGACTCCATGAATGATGAGGTTAATCCAAGAAGAGTTCTTGAACTGATGGGCAGTGAAGTAACTCAGATTGCTTGTGGCAGGTGAGTGCTCCTCAGAGCTTCACGGGACCCTAATGAGACTCAGAAATAGTCTTTGTAGTAATGGAACATGTAACCACATGCACACCTTTGGTGAAATTTGGAGGAAATCAGATCTTGGTAGGATGTGGCAAGGAAGGGTTTTAGATAAGCAGGGTTTTAGATAGGCCTGTTTTGGAATAAAGAGTAGCAGGATGTAGAGAAGAAGTGAAGAAAAGAAAGTGAGGGTCCTATAGAGCTTCTTGGAACTTTTGCCTGTGCCTACCCTGGTTCTTCCCTTTACTCCCAGAGGCCAAATGCAGCAGGTCTTTCAGCTCTTCCATGGGCTGCTCTTCTCCCCATGACTTACAGTGTAGAGACAGATAGCATAATGCAGAACTGGCACTGCAAAGAATCACACATGAACGTGGAGAGACTGCCCAGGCACCTCTAGGAATTGCTGTGCTTTTATGTGGAAGTTAAAAGTCAGAGCTTGAGTGTACTCTTATCAGTAGAAACTTTGCCAATGAGTTAATTTATTTTTTCCTCAGACAACATACCCTTGCCTTTGTGCCTTCTTCCGGACTCATCTATGCATTTGGTTGTGGAGTTCGAGGTCAGCTAGGAACCGGACACACTCGTAATGTGAAATGTCCATCTCCTGTGAAAGGTTACTGGGCTGCTCACAGTGGACAGCTTTCAGCCCGAGCTGGTGAGAGTGATTTTCACGGCAATTTGATTATATTTTAAATGATGAAAACAATTAGCTTAAATATGTATTTTACTTATCTTGAGTCTTTTGGAGGGAATGAATATGAGTTCTTTTTTCTTTATCAAATATTTGAGCACTTGCTCTGCATGAAGCTCTGTGATTGAAATTCTAGAGGATAAATAAGACATAAAATGTTAGCACCCAAGATTTTGGTGGCAGTGTGTAAATTTTATTGTCATTGCCAACAGTGATAGTAAACATTTATTGAATTTATTGAATGTTTAATCAAATTCCATTGCCATTCTAATCACTCATACTAAAGCTAGTAATTTTCACCACCTAGTTAGAGGTGAGAAAATTGAGTGAAAGGAAGTTAAGTAACTTACCAAGATCACAGAATTCTGGAGGCAGGATTGGAACCCAGAACTGCCTTCATTTGAAAGCTCTTAGTGCTTATCCGGTGTTACTGCTACTTTGCTCTGTATGTTTTGGTTATAATATGATGTGATTTTTAATGTCCTTTTTTTCTCTTAAAAATATCAAATAGCAGACTGTTGATTTCCTTGGAAGTCAAAGTATGATAGTCATTCGTATTGCATTACTACCTCCTCTAGAAATAATCTATCTAGAGGCTGACACGGAACTGGAGAGTTATTTAAAAGTAGTGTAATTTAATAATTAATTTTGATTCTGAGATCAGTAAACTGACACACTTAGGACTTGGTTGAGATTTAAAAAAACAACAATTATAAGATCCTTACCAGAATATTAAAAAATTTAAGAACAGGGAATGAGTCTTCTAACTTTTTTTCTTTTCTGTACGGGGATGAGACCCAGGGCAGTGAGTATGCTAGGCAAGCCCTCTACCGCATAACCCACACCCCCAGCACTTTGGTTTTGTATTTTTGTTTTTGTTTTTGAGCTAGGGTCCATAACTTTGTTTGGGAACTCAATATCCTCCTGCCTCTACCTCCCAACTACATGGGATTATAGGCATATACAACCACGTCTGGCTGTTTTTTTAGCCTTGGTAAATCTAGCTTGTAAACTTGCCAGTCAGTAAATATTTATGGAATGAATATGAGCATCTGAAAATGTAGTCTAACTTAAAATATAAAATAAACAAGATTTTGTCTTGGTCATATTTCCATAAGCTGGTATCTTCTCTGTTACTCGTAAATGTCCTTTTTTCCAAGGCATTCTTCTTGTGTTTGGAATATGTGTATTTAGCAAATATACCTCCAAGTACAGTGGTGCTTGCTTTTATTCCCAGCACTAGAGAGGCTAAAGCAGGAGAATCTCAAATTTGAGGTTAGCCTGGCTTGTTGTTTGACAAAAAGTAAAAACATTCAAGTGTTTGTAGGTTAATTTGAAATCACAAATTTTTGAAGTTGAATTATAATCTGGCTTGATTTAGGTGATCGTACATTTGTGCTTGGATGTTTGACAAAATGATTTTATGACATAATTCATTCTATCATTGCTGTGTTTTAGCAGCTTTCTAAGTTTCAATTCATTCTGTCAGTGCTGCCAGCCTTCATGATAATGTGGGAGCACAGAGGAAGGCACTGAGGAGTGTTGCATTGAGGGGAAGTTCGAGCTGCGTCTCACAAGGGTGTTCGTACATAGCCAGGTGCAGGACTGAAAGGGAGTGGACAGAGGTGGAGCCATGGAATTCATGAATCCAGGCACACCATGCAGTTAGGTCCTGGGAGGCACCATGCATGAGAGTACAGTGTGTGTTGAGGTGGTAGAGAGAAGAGACATGGAGGTAGAAAATAGCGTGGAGCAGTTAGAAACAAAACTTGATAGTATTAGGGCATCGACATGGGACTGGGGCACATGATGGAGAAAAAGCAGGGCACAGGTCCATCTCGAAGGGTCTAGGAACCAACGCCCTCAGATGTGGAGTTACTTGTCTGGTATACATGACTGTTTATAGCAGTGCCCATTTTAGATTTCAGGTCAGTAGCTTGACAGCATGAAAAATAGAAACAAGGTCAGGATTAGCTGGCAGTGAGGGAGGGGCAGAGTGGAGGATGCCTTTTACATATTTATTTTTAATTGAAGTAGAAATAGTATTGGATGGCAAGCCAGGAGAGAAGGTTCTCCCCAACATAATTGAAATGGCTAAGAAGCCACTCTGGAGTATATTCTGGAATATGAGAAAAGGAGATTAAAGAGCAATTCGAGTTTTGAAAACTTCAAAATTATGAAAAAAATGTTTGAACTTTGTTTTGACAGATCGCTTTAAATATCATATTGTTAAGCAGATCTTCTCTGGAGGAGACCAAACTTTTGTACTTTGCTCCAAATATGAGGTAAAAATTTCTTTTGACTATTATTTTGGGGGTGGAGAAATGGTGAACCAATAAATATTAGTTCATTAATTATGATTAATTATAATTAATTTTCATATAATTAATAAGTAAATATATGAAAGTAATGCTCTTTGAATGGGAGAAATAATTTAAATTTACATAGCAACAATAGTTTTAAAACCAAGGTGGAGGGCTGGTGGAGTGGCTCAAGTGGTAGAGTGTCTGCCTAGAGAGCATGAGGCCCTGAGTTCAAACCCCAGTACCGCCAAAAAACTCCAACCAAACAACAACAACAACAACAACAACAACAACAACAAAACCAGTGTGGAATGAAAGGCATCCTGGGTGTGTGCTCAGGTGTTCACTTTTGCTTAAGCATTTTTTCTGTATAATTCAGGATATTTTTGTTCTTTCAGTATATGTCTGTGACCATATTAGTAGCATAATTATCAAGAACCAGATGATCAAAACCTGTATCAGGTACTTAGGAGGCTAAAATCGGGAGGATCAAGGTTGAAGACCAGCTTAGGCAAATAGTTCACAGGACCCCATCTCTAAAAATAACCAGAGTAAATGGACTGGTGGTGTAGCTTAAGTGGTAGAGCCCCTGCTTTTGCAAGTGCAAAATCTTTAGTTCAAACCTCAATCCCACAAAAAAACCTGTGTCAGAATCTCTGATGTGTATTGCATGCCCTCTTCTCTGTAATGGTATTTTAACTGACAACTACAAAAAAATAACCAAGAAAATTTTAAATTTACTTTGGAATATATTTTATGTGTAAGCACGAAGGAGAAAAAAATGGCTCTCCTATGAATTAATGATTGGATATTTAAACATTACTTTTTCCTTCTTTATTAAGTGACAAGTATAGGTGATATAAAGCACCATGAGCTTTTTCTTAGTTCTAGATCATGAATAGAGTTTGGAGGAAATAAGTGGAAAACAAGCATTAGAAAATGAAAGTACTTTTTAAAATTTACTAAATAAAGGATGTATCATTCTGGACAGCATTTGGAACTTTCAAGGCACCCTTTTTACCACTTTTCTCTTAGGTTTATACTTGGAGCAAGAAATTGAGAGGCATTAGATTTCCATAAACTATTTGTAATCCAGATTATAACTAATCTCATCTTTAATAATATGATTTATTGGAGTTTGGCAAAAAGTTATGGCAAATAAGTGATATCTTATTGATGTTAAGTGATTCAAAGCCAGGGGGAAAGGAGCGGGTTTTTCTGGGAAAGAGTTTGAGGCTCAAAGTTTTGGGGAGTATGCTCTCTAGAAGAACAGATGCTCTTCATTCAGGGGTGAAGGAGGCAGGGTTAGGCAGAAGAGGGAAGTTGAGCTTCAGTTCAGTTGCAATGGAGGCCTCAGCCAGTCCCATGGAAGACTCTGAAGGTGGAATGGCCCTTCAGCCAGTCCTGAGTTGAGGCAAGGGAGTAGGATTTGTACCATACCTTGCACTTCCATTCAGTACAGTAGGGTGGAGCAGTAGCCAAGGTCAAGTCCTGGAGAGCAGCCCAGTACTCCCACAGCTGGGGAAGTGGATGTCTGCTTCTATTTGGGTAGGAGGGAGGGATCTGGACAGAAACCAGAGCAATTCGGTTCATGTGAGACACCAAGTGGAGAATGTGGAGGACAGACAGGAGACAAGATCTGTGCTACATAATTCATTTTTCTGTTCTTATATTTAATTCTCCAGAATTCTTCTCCTGCTGTTGACTTCAGGACCATGAACCAAGCACATTATACCAGTTTAATAAATGATGAAACCATAGCAGTTTGGAGAAAAAAACTTTTAGAACACAACAATGCCAATACAATTAAGTATGTGGTTACTTGCCTTCATTTTATTTTTTGCAAAGTTTATTGGAACTTTGCAAAAGTTCTGGCTTATTGATGATCCCTGCTGCCATGTTGAGGTTGTGAGTGTAAATGGACTTTCCAGTTTATGAAAATCATTTTTTCTTTATTTAGCTTGATCCTATTAGCCCCAATAACAATGTATTGTTTCCCAGTTCTCACACTGCATCTGCTCCTCAACCTGCCTTGTTTAGTGTAAGATCTTAAAAATCTGACTGAGGAAAGCATAAGGTCTTTCTGCTAGAAAGAGCTCAGTATTGTGTGGTGTAACCCCAATGGCTTTCTTCACATTCATTTCCCAAAGCATCTTGAATCTAAGACAGCTATTCGCCTTCCTAATTTGAATAACTTCTAGCGTTTTCTCATTCAAAATGATTAGTTGAGATGGTAATTCAGAGGGGAAAACAAACCATAATAAAAATACTTTATTTGTGAGTTTTTTTTTTTCTGTAGTCTAATTTGTGGGACTGAGTAGGTCAAACTGTGTACAAAGAGTGGTCATTCTCAGAAGCGCGCAGTATAGATCTTGCTTTCTGATCTAGATTGTATTGGGGAAAATGACCAGGATCCTGAACTTTGAAACATTCTGGTTAGTAACTTTTTGAGTGATGTGTCACTGGGAACACCCAAGAGCAGCTCTCCAGCAGTCCTCAGAACCCTTTTTTCCTTAGGGGCCTCTGCCATGGAGTTCATGCTGGAAGGGGAGGACAAGGAGAAGAACCATAGGAGGACAAGGAGAAGAAGGCTGGGCTGGTCTGGTCATCAGCAGGGGAGCTGTAGCCTCTGTACTTCACCAATAGTTCTGTTTTCTTATTTGTAAAACAAGGACATGACCTCCTGACCCAGATTCTATGATTAACAGAAGTTACTATGCTCTTTTTTCCTAGCTATATACTTGTTTTAGGCCTTCCTTTCTTATACTAAATAAGAGGATCCAGGGTACCTGACAAGCAACTCACATGGGCCCTCAAAAACTAGTTACTTTCCCAGAGTCTATGTAATCTAGGTAATAGAAATAAGCACTCATTTCACTAATTTTTAGGTTCTTTCTAAGATGGGCAACAGAATAGAAAGAAGTGGCTAGGAAGTTATTAATTTGCAAAGGTAATTTCTCTGTTCAGGAAATAAAAGCTCAGTTTTTTATTTTGTTTTATTTTGTGTGTTTGGAGGTGAAGTAGGGAATGTTTTAGATGGTTGGTAATAGGAGAATGTTTAAGATTGTTAATGGGGCAAGAATTTTTCTTTTAAGAGTTTTAATATTTTAAAAAATATAACTTATGAAAAAATTAAGTTCTTGTTCATTTTGAGATATGACATACTGTTTCTCTAAAGCAAATGTAATTTTCCAAGGCTTTCATTTGGGTAAGAAAAAGCTGCTACTGATGAAACCTATTCCATTAATAGGTTGACTAGATGACTATTTTATTATTAATGTTAAATATCCCATTCATTTATAATTATTAAAGGCTTCTCTCCTCCCTCCCTCTTCTTCTCTCTCCCATCCTCTTCCTTTCCCTTTTTCTTGTTTTTTCTTTGAGTAGTGGTGTTGTTCAGATATTATCTTCTGCAGCCTGTTGGAATGGAAGTTTTCTTGAAAAAAAGTAAGTGACTTAAAGTCTTAAACCCACATGTGATGCAAAGACTTACTCACTAGAGGCTTTGAAAGACTTCTGTTCTTTTTGCTGGTGGTTGGCCAGAATTCAGTGAATAAGCTGATGCTTTGCACAAAAATTGGCATGTCTAATAATGATGAATGAGAGGACACCAGGAAGGGCAACGCTGAGTCACCTGGTTGGCAGAGAAGCAGATCTAAGAAAGAATTGGTGTAATCCAAAGTCAGAATTTCAGAGTGTTCTAAACTGTTATTCCTACCATGTGTGCATTATTTGTTCTAAGTTCTTAATTCTTTAAATAATCTCCTTGGTTTCTTTGGTTTGCTTTCCCGTAGTTTTTCATTTCTCAGGAGGAGCAACTTAGAGAGAAGTTTCAAAGAGGCTTCAAGGACTTCTTGGATTTAGGCCCAGCCCAGCTCACCCAGAAATCATATTTGAGGCTGAACTCACAGGCAGCAAATAGTGTTTCTTTGCTTGGCCTACCCCTTCTGCAAACATTGCCCTCAGGAACCTGGTGTGGCAGAATCTTGTCTAGGGTTTGGATCTTTGGTGATCCCAAGTCCTGATTATCTCTTAGTCTTTTTTCTCTCAATGACCAGGCTAATGAGATTCCAAGATAAGCATATTTGTTAGCTTTCCATTAATGTCACAAATGCCAGAGACAAACAAATTAAAAAAAACAAAAAGGGACAGGTTGAGGCTGGAGGCGTGGCTCAAGCAGTAGAGCTCTGCCTCAGAAGTGCTAGGTTCACATTCTAGTACTGTCAAAAAAAAAAAAAAAAAAAAGAGAGAAGGAAAGGTTTATTTTGGCTTACGGTTTCAGAGGTTTTCGGTTCATGGCCAGTTGGACATGTTGATTTTGGGTTGATTATGGCAGGAGAGTGTGGCAGAGGAAGGTACTCATATCATGGTGGTCAGGAAGCTGAATGGAGATAGAACTGGCTGGGCTCCCAACACTCCCAGTGACCTAACTTCCTTCTACAATGGCCCACCTCCTAAAAGTTCTACCATCTCCCATTAATGCTACTTGCTAGGGACTAAGCCTTCAACACTGCGGGTAGACATTCAAGATCCAAACTATAGTACTGAGTTTGAGTTAGACTTTAGTTCTCTGCCCCTCACCCCCGTATTAGTCAGAGATCTTCAAAGGAACAGATTAAATAGGATGGATGGATGAATCAGAGGGGATTAACCATGGGAATTGGTTCACATGATTATGGAGCCTGAGAGTTTCATCTCTCCCCATCTTACAAATAAGCCTTTTGGAAGCTAGAGAATTAGGGAAGCTAGTGGTGTGGCTCAGACTAAGGCTTCAGAACCAGGGATGCTGCTGGTACAACTCTTAGTCCGAGGTCAAAGGCTTGAGAACCTGGAGTTCTGATGTCTAAGAGTAGTAGAAGAAGGATGTCCCAACTTCAGAAGAGAGAGAAAGTGAATTTGCCTTTCCTCTGTCCTTTTTATTATGTTTGGGTCTTCAGCTGATTGGATGGTGTCCACCCATATTGGTTGAGGGTGGATCCTCCCTACTCAGTCCACCAATTCAAATGCCAATTTTTTTCCAGAAACATTTTACAAACACACCTAGAAATAGTGCTTTACCAGCTATCAGTGTATCCCGCCATTCAGTTAAGTTGACACCTAAAATTAACCACCCTCCCCCATATATCTCTCATTGGGTTGCAAGAGATCACTTCAGTTAGTTAGAGATGACAAAGTCACTTACTTGTGTCATATGACAGCTGGAATGAGATTATTCAATGCACTTCTCTCTAGGGAAAGATATTCTAGATTGTTGATGTTCATCTTTCAGAGCAACATTTCTCAACCAGCGTTATTGTATTCCACATGGGACATTTGGCAATGATGTGCTGACATTTTTGGTTGTTGCAATGGGGAGAAGTGTATTCTTGCATCTACTGGGTCAAGGCCAGGGATGCTGCTGTAAACATCCTGTAGTCCCACCTACCTATCAAAGAAGTCTAGACCAAGTTTGAGAAACTATTCTAAACAATTAGCTTTTATGAAGGTTGGGAAGTCTTGGCCAGACTTCTTCTTGGATATTTATCTTTAGTGCCATGGATTATTCTGTACAGTTGTAGTTAATTTTTTTTTACATTTGTGTTATTTCAGGAAGCATGTTTCTGCAATATATACAACACGCAGGAAAACAACCAAAGTGAAGACCAATTTTACCAAGCAGTACATATGTATAGATAAAGCATTTAGTTTTTTCTTAACAACATACAAGAAAGTCATTCTAAGTACATGGAAAGTTGTATTTGTGACACTAGAATTAGGTTAATGTCTTTGTAGATTTATTTTTAGGATAGCAACAAAAGATCCAACAAAGAAAGTCCAAACAACTTCTTTTGATTTGACTGTGAGTTCCAATGCATATAATTATGATTTTTTAATGTTAGAAACTCATGTTTTCATCAATTGTAACATTGCTGTCAGAGGTTGTTTAAAACTATCTAAATGTATTTATTGCTCATGACCAGAGCCTGTGTTGCAAATAGCTGTTTTGTAAATTAATAGATGTATTATGTTCAAGAGTGGGACTCTAAGAGATATTCTCAAAGTTTCTGAAAAGCTAAGATTATTGAAAGTTGGAAAGATAATTTGACTGTTAGGAAGTTACTGTGAAATTAGTCCTTGGGTGAATATAATTGAGTCCCTTATGTTAACTAAGAGAGACACTAATTTTGCATTTGTTGTAAACCTGGTTTTTTTTACAAATACTTTGTTAAGGAAAGCTTTAAATAAAAAGACTCTAATTGCCATTTGTTGATGAACAGGCCAGTTTGTACTGGGGATTTTTTTGCACCTAGCCACAGCATTTACATCTAGTTCAATGTACCACGGTTGCAGAAAAAGGCAAAAAAACAAACAAATAAGACCCCACAAAAGTAAATCAGGGAAATAATACTATTTATAAACTATAAGACAGTCTGAACTTGAAATGCTGCTCTTTGAACTTTGATTTGAAGGAGAAAACAATTGAAAATTTAAAATCATCTTGAAAAAAAGATTGCTGTAAGGTTTATTCTGTTGGGCTTTTACAAGGTACAATATTCTTGTGGATTATGTTTTCCAGGTCATATTTAAATATGATTAGAATGGTCAGACATTTTTGTTTACCTGTTTATAGTTTTTACCAGAATGTTCACTTTGTTTTTCTTTTACTACATATATACATATGGTTTTCTTTTTGTTTATTTAGAATTGATGAACATTTTAAAACAAGTCCTAAAATCCCTGGGATTGACCTGAATTCAACTAGGGTGTTATTTGAGAAGTTAATGAATTCTCAGCATTCCATGATTCTGGAACAGGTGTGTTGCTTTCATACAAAGTAAATTCTAGAAAATGCATCTTACATTGAAGAATTTGACTTTTAAGAGGAAAAAAAAAGCAAGATGAAAGTTTCATATGAAAGTCTTATACAACTTTTAGTTTTATAAAAATACTCATTTTGGGAGTTTGTCCTACCTATTTTTGCTTTCTCTTTTGGTATAAATCTTTAATCTTTCTAAGGAATTGCCTTTCCAGAATGTAAGGTCTGTATGGGTTGGAATCTTTGGCTTTTGTTCTCCCTGGTGTGTTCTGGGAAGCTGGATCAGTGCCTGGTTCATAGTAGTTGCTCATTACAGACTGAATGAAGAAGAGTTGATAGTCTACCAGATAGCTGTGAATTTATAGGTTAAGTTAACTAGGTCTCAGATTCTTTGAATTTTTCATTACTTTTTTCTCTCTTACAGATCTTGAATAGCTTTGAAAGTTGCCTGATACCTCAGTTGTCGAGTTCACCACCAGATGTCGAAGCGATGCGAATCTATTTAATATTACCTGAGTTTCCCCTGCTCCAGGATTCCAAGTATTACATAACCCTGACCATTCCCTTGGCAATGGCCATTTTGCGACTGGATACAAACCCCAGCAAAGTATTAGGTGAATCTGCTAAACTTCAACGCCAGTGGTTTTGTCCTCACTTACCTTGTTGGTGTGTCTGCTGGCCCTCAGTGGATTGAGAGCTAATGATCTATTCATTGCTATTTAATAGCTTTAACATTTCTTTCTTTGCTGTTAATTTCTGGCTAACCCTGTTTATAATTTGGGCAAATTTAACTGTTATTTAGCTCATTTGAAATGATTTATACCAAATCCTGACTTTGAGCAATTCACAAAGTTAGATTATTAAATTTTAAACTACTTTTATTTTTTTCCCACATTTTGCTTGTAGTTAATAGTGCCTCAAAAATTAGTATCCACCTGTCCTCTCTCTTTCTCTAATGCCTACTTTAGGGGGTGGGAGTGAAATGAACAGTTTTGGTGATGCAGAGATCTTCAAGAAAGGAGAGGTGAAAAATGACCTAGTGGGGACTTACCAAATGTTTTTTTTTGTTTTTCTTTTTTAGGACAGTTGAGTCCACACTGATTTTTGCAGGCTCCGGACACTTTGCTGAGATAAGAACCTTCCGTTCCTCAGTGAATTGGAGAGTGTCTCTCATGGGAATAGCGCCTGAGATGTTTTTATTAATCAAGTGCAGAAAGTCTGTCACCTGGCTTTTTACTTTTTCCCCCCTCCCCTTGGTAATTTTTTTTTAGGTGTTTGTTGCAACTCAGTAACTTCAGTGTTCCAGGTGGACTGGGATGTTACTTGAGCATGGTCTCCCTATGAGTGAAGAGACCTGTTGTTGGCTTTTCTAAGTCACTTCTACCTTTGTATGAGAGATAAAAACCAGAAATAATAATGAAAGCACAAATAACATGTTAGTACTTAATTTTTAGTAGCCTTTGGGGCACGTTTTTTCAGGTGTTTCTAGTAGTTGTAAGATACCTCAATGGCAATCTCTGAAAAAAAATAGTACCTGACTTTTAAATTTTGGGGTTTTAAATTTTTTATTTTCCTAGGTCTGATAACACAAAAGAGGTCAGAATTGCTCACATTTATGCTTTAAACTTCAGATGATTGCATTTTAAAAGAATACCTCAAAGTACCCATCAACGATTGTCAATACTTTGGGCTTGTTATTTTATCCCCACCCACACCTTTTAATTTTAATTTTTGATGGAATATTTTAAAAGAACTCTCAGATATCCTGTTATTTCATTGTTTAAATATTTGAATATGGCTGAGTTTATTTCTGACAAAGAAGCCAATGGTATAATCTTCTCGTCAGGTTATGCGAAAGCATTGTTTGGAGAGAAACAAAAATAGTCGTTTTTCAGCTAATTATGCCTCATGAAGAGAAGGAAGGTTTCCATGTTGCTGTTGCTCAGGGGCGAGGTGTCTTTTGCATCTCTGGTAGCAGGATTTTCTGAGTGGCTGAGAACAGTGCTGAAAGCACTAGGACATAAGGACACTATTTGGACATTCCTCCTGCCCAGAATATGTGTGTCTTCTCCCTATGCACCATTTAATTGAACTTTTAGATTAGCCTTCACAATGAGTCTTTGAAAAAATTCATATCAAACATTATAAAAAAAAAAAAAAAACCCAAAGCTCCAGGAATTCTTGTATAGCTGCTGCTCTCTCCAGAAATGTTTCAATGTATTCTTTTTAAAGTCAATTTTGGGAAACTGCATTTTAGACTAATGTTTATCTTCTAGCCATAAGAATTTTTAGTTAGCAGGCAGAAGACATAAATACTTGCTTAAGATTATGTGTTGAAACATGTCTTTCCTTTCTTTCTTAAGATAACTGGTGGTCTCAGATATGCCCGAAATATTTCATGAAGCTGGTAAACCTCTATAAAGGTGCAGCCCTTTATCTACTAAGGGGAAGAAAGACATTCTTAATTCCTGTACTGTTTAACAATTATATTACAGCGGCCCTCAGGCTCTTGGAGAAGTTATACAAGGTGAGCTTAGCAGGAGCCAGAGGGGAAGGGATGATTCAAATGGTAGAGTGACATGTCTCACTGGAATTTTTTATGGGGAGGCCATGTTTCTGTTCTCTGGGTTTAGTTGTTCTTATTTTGCTCACCATCAGGTAAATCTTAAAGTGAAGCATGTAGAATATGATACCTTTTACATTCCTGAGATTTCCAGTCTTGTGGACATTCAAGAAGACTACCTCATGTGGTTCTTGCATCAAGCAGGAATGGTAAGAATCTATATAAAGCATACCTTAAAACTTTAGTCTTTTTTCAGAGTGCAGATCAGGACCAAGACAAGCAAATCTGAGCCATATAATCTGTCTTTGACTTTGATGTTTGTATCATCCTTGTCTTTCACTTATCTGGCTTTTGCATTCTTGAAACTTGGAAGTACTTTAGGTAATCATAAATGTCATGAGGAGTCATAAATTAGTAGCCATCCACAAAGTTACAAACTTTATTGGTTGTCAACATTTTAAAAAATGAAGATATCTGGAGCTGGCAAACATTACTTAGTGGTAAAGTGTGTGCTCAGCATATGCAAAGCTATGGTTTGACCTCTAGCCCACTGAACAGAACAAACAAAAATGTATCTAAAATAGCTAGATTCATAAAATCAAAGTGAAATAGTGTTTACCAGATCAGAGGCAGGAGGAAATGTGAGTTGTTATGTAATGAGTGTAAAGTTTCAGTTTTGCAAGATGAAAAAAGTTTTGTGGATCCACATGCAATAATGTGAATATATTTAACAATACTGAACTGCACTTTTAAAATGGCAGAGATGGTAAACTTGTTATGTATTTATTTTTACCACAATTTAAAAAACCAAGACATGAAAATAGGAATTTCCAGCTTTTCTTGAAACTTGGGAGATCTGGCAATACAACCATGTCTTCCCAGATGGCACCAACTGGCTGGAGTTCAGTAGGGACTCTTTAGACAAGGCTTTCTATGTACTACAATCCCCACCGCAGATTGATTTATTCCTGACACCGAGGATTATTTGCTAATTATCATCTTCTGACAGCTAGCCTACTTTAGTCATCTTATGTCAGCTGCCTAGACCCTGCAGGTTGCCTCTGTTTTAGGACTATTTATTTGAGAGTGTCTCACTTCCATGACCCAAATTTCTACATGTGTTAGACATGTCCTTCAAGGGGCTTGTGGGTTCCTGCGTGCCACACCTGGCATGGCAGGAGCTGCTCAGTTAGATTGCAGATTGGGTTGGGATCTATGCAGAGCTCTTTAGGATTCCCCATCTGTGGTCTATGTGCAAATTTGAGTTATGTCAGAAAACAGAAGGGTGATTCGTTTATTTTATTTAGTGAAGCTGTGCAGCAGATACATCTGAAGTGAGTCTTTGCCAGGTTAGCAGACTCATCAGCAATATTAGGGTAATGCTTTCTCTGTAGGATTTTTGGAGGTCAGCAGTGGTCTCTAAAAAGCAAGGCATTTAAGTGGTTTATTTAAATGAACAGACAAAATTGTTTTCTTTGTCAGATAATAGATAATTAGTGCGATACAAAGTTCTATTTTTCTTGGCTCAGTCCTGTAATCTTAGCTACTCAGGAGGCAGAGATCAGGAGGATTGTGATTCAAAGCCAGCTTGAGCAAATAGCTTATGAGACCCTATCTTGAAAAAGCCATCACTAAAAAGGGCTGGCGGAGTGCCACAAGGTGTAGGCCCTGAGTTCAAACCCAGTACCACAAATAATAACCAAAAGGTTCTATTTTTCCTTTGTAGAAAAAAATTTAAATTGGCAGCATCATATTTTCTGAAAAAAAAATACTTTTCAATAAAAAGTTTTCTACAAAGAGTCACCATGGAATTCTAACATGGAGAGGCTAGCAGTGAATGCTGTTCTTGAAGTTTAGAAACTGTAATGAGTTTTATCAACTGGTGACTATTTTGCATTAAATAATGAAATGTTAATTGCTATAAAATAAGCCTTACGGATTATTTCAGTCTACTGCTTTGTAAAGGAGAGGGAGACCTAGGGAGTTAATTTCCACTAAGTCTGTCAGCCACAAAAGCCAGTGCTTCTGATTTGCCTTTTCCATGATTTCTGTCCTGAAATAGTAATTTTAACAAACATTGGCTGCCCTAGAGCTTGAACTCAGGGTCTCAGGGTCTCACGCTTACTAGGCAGGTGCTCTTACCAATTGAGCCAATCTGGCAGCCCTTTTTTATGAAGGGTTTTTTCGAGATAAGGTCTTATTTGCCCAGTGCTGGCTTCAAACTGTGATCCTCTTGATCTCTGCCTCCTGAGTAGCTAGAATTTACAGGTGTAAGTCAATGGTGCCTGACCTAAAATTTTTGACCCTGAAAAAGGAGTTGCTTATATTAAAATGTAGATTATCATGGTTGTGGTCTCTGAATGGAAGTATGTGAGTAACTTTTGCTATTTTTAATAATTCCTTTCTCTTAAAGTCATAAGCAAATATCTTGTCAAGTCTTGAATAAAGTGTTTATCTCCTCCTCAGTAATTTAGATGGTTATTATAAAAAGACAGAAAATTAGCTAAAATTAGTGTGACCTTTTGTGATTTCTGAGGAATTTTTTCTTATTGTACAGGTATAGTGTAATTAGAAATTGAAGTTTAAGTTTCTTGATATCTTGGCTTTTTGCTTAAAATTCTAATGCCATTTCATATATTTTTTATTATAACCACTTTGAAATAAAAATGGACAGTAAATGGGTTAATTGTGTTAGCTTTTTAAACCAGTGAAGTTAGTATAGCATATAGGACAGAGCACATGCTTCAGTCAAAGAGATCTCTATTCAATCTCAACTCTGGTCTTCTGGCTATGGTCTTAGACAAGTTAATTTCTTTAGGCCTAGCATCTTCATTGTGATGGGAATCATAACAGTTTTGTGAGACTTTTTAAAAGGGAGAAAGCACGAAGAGGTCTGTCTTAGCATGTCATATAAGGAGCCCTCAATAACTGTTTTTAACTGAGCAGTTCTTGAGCACCGAGTATATGTCATGTATCTGGACTAGTCACTGTTTGTGGAGGCATGACCTGGATATGGTGTCTACCTTTGCTGAGTGTTTAGTTCAGTCCAGAGGCTGCAGTGAAAAAGATGTTACAAAGGATATAGCATATGCATGCAGAAGAACATTCTAATGTGGCTGGATTTTGCTTGGTTTAAGAAGAGGTGATAGTGATTTATTTTATCTCAGTTAACAATGTGTCATCATTTAATGCTTGAAAACCAAGTAGCACAGAGATTGTTTTTGTAGTCTCCCATAGAGGGCAGCAGAAGTGAAGAATTCAGTGACAGGCATAAATCCTTCAAAAATAAAAGCTAGAGAAAGCTTGACACTATGTGTCATAGGCGATGAAGCACATGGGGGCAGTGTCCGGGCTGCTGATACCAGTGTTGAGTACATGTGAGATCAGGCAGACCCTGAGCAGAGGTGACTGCATTTTTGCCCCTATGCTTGCAGGTGCATAAAGTACCTCCTGCTCCAGTCACAGCCATGTTTAGGAATGCCAACTTGCCTATTAGAGAGAGGGGAGAAGAGGAAGGTGGGAGAGGGAAAGAGAGGATATTCCTAGTTCTTTAGCCCAGTACCATGTGTTTGTTCATTGCTTCTATTTCATATACTTAAAAAAAATGAAGAGGTCACAGTGAAGCTCCATTTCAGATAGGGACCTTTGAGATATTGTTTGTGAGGCTCAATTTTGGGGGTCTCATACTCAGTATAAGCCTCTTAGGAGCGGATCACAGATCTTGTCTGTGTGCATCTTTCTAGGTTAGTGATAGCCATATGGCACAAAAATCATTCAAATTTATTTCCTATAATATAGAAATGCCAATATTAATATAATTTTTAAAATATTCACTATTCACAAAATAAAAATCAGTGGACTTACATTTCAGGTATCAAAGCTCATAGATGTATGACGTACCAAAATTTTATAGACATATCAAGAAGACATTCATCTAGATCTTCAGCTTCTTTTGACTTCTGTGCCTTCCTTAGAGTGGGTACCTTGATCGTTAAGCCTTCAGGGTCTATCTGCCTGCCATGGTGGCTCCCCAGGGCTGTGTCTAGACCACTGAATCTGAATAACATTTCTCTGGACTTGACTCTGGACCTAGTTGAGGCAATTGGGATTTCTTACCAACAGGTCCACCCAGCTGACAATGCTGGCCCTGACTCTAGTAGAGATTAGTATTCCTGCCAAACTGGATTTTTTCATTTTGGGGTGTGGTGAGGGGTCAGATGAAGGACAATGAAGGGACTAGAAGTACACATGGTAGGCATTAAAGGGGGTAGGGAGGAGACTTGTGGTGGGGAGTTGCAGGGAGAGAATGAGTCAGAACAGGAGTGGGGCGGAAAGAGCCAAGAGATACCCACAAAGTTCTTGCTGATGATAAGTAACTAAAACACCAGTACTTAAACATGCTAGGAGTGCTAGGACTCTGTAATGCCACAACTGTTTTTGTTTTAATTTTTTTATATTTTTGGCAGTACTGAAGTTTGAATTTAGGGTTTTGCCTTTGCTAGGCAGGTGCCACACCCCCTGACCATTTTGCTTTAGTTATTTTTCAGATAGGGTGTGGAGCTTTTGACTATGCTGGTCTCTATATGTGATCTCTTACACATTCCTAGGCATGTGCCACCACACCTTGTTTATTGGTTGAAATGGGGTCTTGATAATTTTTTTTGCCCAGGCTGGTCTTGGAATGCAGTCCTCCTGATCTCTGCCTCATGAGTAGCTGGAATTATAGGCAAGCACCACTGCATCCTGCCTTTGCTTCAGCTGTTTGTGTAGTCACTGTTACTGAAACCCAGCAAGGGCTCTCTGTCCAGTGGGCATAGAAACCAATACTATGGTACTGGTTGTTGCAAAAAAAGAGTTTTATTGAGCAGTCATCCAGCCAGGTCAGGAGCTATAAGCTCAGATCTTCCTCTCTGGTCAATTGATATTGGGGAATTTATAGAAAGGGAGAGGGGAAAAGCTGCTTGTTGGTTGGATGGTGAGGAAGTTTTAGGGTTCTTTGTGCAAGTGTAGCTTCTTTAGTGGTTGAACGTTTCTTTTGGGGTGTGCTAGGTTCTGTGTAGGAGTCATTGATCTGTCCATTCTTGAAGCTGATTTCACTATCCCTGAGTGGATTCTGGAAAAACAACATAAGCACTTTGTTATTTAAACAATCTATGTATGGGGAATCCAGGCCTTAATGCATTATTGCTCCTCTCACATCACTTTTTACATTCAGTGTGTTCAAACCTGTACATTGCTTTATATACAACATCCATCTAACACCTTTTGCATGGAAAAGCAAACAGTGCTTAGAGTAAACTAATCTCCTCTGAGAGGAAGATTTACAAAATTCTAAATATTGGTGCCAGTCTTAAGCCCACTTCACTAGGATACTCCTCATATCTTTTGTAGGTGCCCAGACTCTAAGATAATTCTGCATAGAGCTGTGTCACACTGAAGTGGCTGTTGTTTTTAGTCAATTTAAATTCCTAAATTCAAATTAATTAGATATGTAGGCATGAACGTGTATCAAATTGGCCTGGATTGTATATGCATGGCTCCATATCTGGTCCCATTGGGCTGGAATTATCTCTCTGGTTATTGTTTCTCCGTTTAGAGAAATCATTCAGGAGTCTTAATTTTAAAGGATTAACAAGGTGAATTTTAATTATAATTGCCTTTGAATGATTTCACTTAAATATGCACAAATACACAAGGAAGTATGTACTTCTTACCCATGTAGTATTTAAACAATTATAAAAACCAAAAATAAATTTATAAGTTATGTGTGAAAAAAGCACTAAAATCAGTAAAATACTTATTTGCTTCACTCACCCTGCCATGAAGGAACACCTCTTACATTGTGATCAGGACCGCCTGCTGCTGGCTCTTGGGTTCCACCTCCTGTCTGGCTGGGATAACTCAGCTCTTTCCTGCTTTCATCTGCACTTAAACCTCATTCACACAGCAAACCAGGACTGCATTGACCTTTTCCTCTGTAAACGCAGCATTTTCCTGACACCACTGCTTTTCCCTTTCCTCATCACCCTCTCACAATTTCGATATTTCTGTGACACCATACAAGACAAATGCAAATTGTGTGGTAATATGCTACTAGAAGGTCATGCAGAATGTGTTTTTATTTTGTTTAGGCCATCATTAAGAAAACAGAGCACTCAGATCTCTGAGAATAAATCCATGGAAACTTCTATTAAGTTAATATTTATTACATTACCTAAAAATTTTCAGAAGAAATTTCCATGTTCCCAGTTACATGAAGCTATAACATTCCTGTTAGAAATGCTGCATTTGTGGTTGTATTTGCTATTACTCCTCTCCTTAAGAGTAAATTCACAGATTCATTCACAATTCACCTATTAATAGTCTTCCACAGGTAATCGTTTCAGTGCTGAGTCAGGAACAGCTTGTAACTGGAGTTCTAGGACAGAGGCCCAATGCCAGGAGTTCCAATATGTCAGTCTGGCCACTTGCCCCAATACACCAAATAAGGAGATGAGTAGTGGTGAAGGGCAAAGAAAAGAGGTTTATTATGCAGCCTGGAAACTCCATACTGAAACTCCAGGTCTCAGAAGATCCTGGTTGAGAAGAACTCAGGGCATTGTGTCTTGGAACAAAGTATTGGACAGAAACACAGATTGCAAAGCAGAAGTAAAATTTTATTGAAAGGAAAAGGAAAGTATAGGCACTGCCAAAGAAAGTGCAGTGGGCTTTGAACACATACACAGACATTTATTTATTCAAAAGATAAACTATAGGTTGTAAGGGCAAATGGCAAGAAAAATCTGGGTGGTCTTTGCAGGAGGGGCTGAGGTGATTGCAGGTTTGATTGGCAAGGTCTTATATAACATGGGGTGTTGTGTGCAAACACTTAAACTGATCTCAGATTTTTAATGTATGTTTGAGATGAGGTATAAATATTATGAGCAATATTCATGAGGTCTTTTTTTAAACCAAGACATGAGCATTCTTTATTGCGTGATTGTATTATGATTGCATTATGGGTATTTTAAATTTCTCTCCATATTTGTCTGTATTTTCCAATTTTTTCCTTCTTACAATGAACATACACTAGTGTCAAAATCAGTAACAAAATAACCAACAGCAGACCTCATTGAATCTGGGGATCTGACCCCTAACCACATCCTTGATTGACCTCCTGCTATCTCTTCTTCTTTTTTTTTTTTTTTTTCTTTTATTCATATGTGCATAGAATGTTTGGGTCATTTCTCCCCCCTTCCCCCGACCCCTTCCCTCATGAGGTCTTAAATAGAGGGCTTTACCTGAGAGGTCAGATTCAGGACAGATTTCCCTTTATTGGGCTTGCACCATTTTCAGATCTGAACTGGCCAAGAGACTCCCTTGTCTTTGAGAGGAATTTACAATTGAAAAGGAATTTACAATTGAGAGGATGTCCCAGGGTGGTCCTGGACAGGGATAAGGAGGGATTCAGCATGGGGCAGTGACCTTTTGCTGAGGAGGGTGGAGTCCCATGGTGGATTTTTTCTTTCCGTGTTTCTAGCCTGCATCAATAGGAAGAGGCAAAGTAGGCACTTGAGTCCAACTCTGGGTATAAATACCAGCTTTCAGTTTAACTAGAGGAAGAACTGGGGCAAGGGGAGAGAGTATGCATAATTACTACAGTCCTGGTCAAAGTGTGGCCTGATTATTATCTCAGTTCTGCTTCTTGTGAGGGGGTTCCAGAGAAGTTGTTGCCATCATCACTTGAGGGGAGCTACATGGTTCCCATAAAATGATTACTCCTGCTCCAGAGTGCAGCCCCGTCGTTATGGGTAACAGTTCCTCACTTCGGTATGGTCTGTCTTGAGGCTCTGGTGTTCCTTTCCTTGGGATAGTTTTGGTCCCTTGTCATAAAGATGTCTTTGATCAGTCCTGTCCTCCTTGGAACTCAGGGTGATTATAGGTGAGGAACTCTGAGTAAAGGAGACAGATATAAAATGGAATCAGGGGAGCCAGACTTTTCTCTTGTTTTCACATAACCTATGAGCCCAAGTAAGGAGTCAGAGCTTTTTTTTAAGCAAAAGCAGTTTCTAAGTACCTGTTATAAGCTTACTAGGTGTCTTTCTATATATTTGTTTTTTCCTAAGTGCGTGTGGGATAATACAACATGCTAGCAGATAAAAATGTAATTTGCATTACAAATGGAGGGTTCCTAATCTGAAATCCAAGTGCTCTAAAAACTGAGACTTTTTTCAGTGCCAATATGATGCCACAAGTGGAAACTTCCACACCATCAAACCTTATTTGAAATGACCTTCAGACTGTGTGTATAAGGTATATATGAATCATAAATGAGCCCCGTGTTTAGACTTGGGTCCCATCTGTGATACTTCTCATTACGTATATGAATATTTAAAAATCTGAAAAAATGTAGGGTGTTTTTAGTCCCAAGCATTTTGGATAAAGGATACTCAACCAATTTACCCAATAAAATTAATCTATGAAGTCATGGCTGTAAAGCTCTTGTTTTGGAACTAGACTTCCTCCCTCCCTTCTTCTTTTTTCCCCTCCCTCCCTTCTTTTTGTTTTTGTGACAGGGTCCCACTGTGTAGCCCAGACTGACTTCAAATTGGAAATTCTCCTGTCTCATCCTTTCAAGGGCCAAGATTATGGGGGTGTACCACCACATACAAGGCTTTATGCTTGCTAGGCAGGCACTCTACTACTTGAGCTATACCACCAATCCTTTTTGCTATGGCTATTCTGGAGATAGGGTCTCACTTTTTTTGCCTAGCCTGATCGAGATCACAATCCTTCTATTTTAGGCTTTCTACCTTAACTTGGATGACAGGCATGCCCCACCACGTTCAGCTTTTTTTCTGTTGAAATGGGGTCTTGCAGACTTTTTGCCCAGACTGGCCTGGAACTATGGGCATGAGCCTTTGTGCCTGGGTTGGAAATGAATTTCTTATAAAGAGAATTTTATTAATGCTGTGAATATGGAGGGTTAGTAAAATTGCCTTTAAAGTTTCTTTAAAATGTTTTAAAATTGTTTATATTCTTTTTCTCAGTCTGTCCATAAAAACATCTATTCTTTTCCATCAAAATGTAGTCAGTCATTCCAGTGTTGCTAGGTTGATGGCTAAATAGTCAGACAGGCTATTATGAGCTGCTATAATTTATATTTTGGGAGGTTAAAATTCAGGTTTTACCATCCAAGTAAGAACCTTCTTATTTTTCTTTACACAGAAGTCTAGACCATCTATAATACAGGTAAATGATCCCTTTTAAAACTTACTTACATGTTTTTCAACACTATTCTGTGTAAAATACTCTAATACTGCCAATAATGTGTTTTGTTTTAGGATGCCGTGACACTTTGTTCTTACCCTTTCATCTTTGATGCCCAAGCCAAGACCAAAATGTTGCAGACCGATGCTGAATTACAGATGCAGGTACCACATTTAAAAAATTATCTCCTCTGTTTTTTGCATCCTCAACATTTAGTTGTAATTTTTCCAAATAGGAGAAAGTATACTGGGTGAAATTCCATTATAACTCGTAGAACTGTTGTAAATTTTTTCAGTAATTATTATTACTGTTTTGTTTTCTGAGACAGGGTCCTCACTATGTAACATAAGCTGGCCTTGAACTTGACACTGTCCTACCTCAGTCTTCCAAGTGCTGAGATTGCAGGCATGTAGCACCCTGCTTAGCTTTAGTAGTTTTATGTTGAATATAGCACACATATGTGAATGAGTATTTAAGTATATCGAGGGGAGATATGTATTTTCTGTAATGGCCATATAGTTAATATTTTAGGGTTTGTGAACCATATGGTCTCTGTTACAAGCATTTGACAGTTATAGAACAGCAGCAGTGATAGATAATACATAAGTGAGTGTATTTAAATAAAACTTCATGTACATTAAAATTTGACTTTTTATCTAATTTTCACATGGGAAATATGCTTCATTTTTTTTGTTTTTTAACTGTTTAAAAATGTAAAATTCATTGTTGGCTTGAACTGTGCAAAAAACCAGGCAGTAGACTGAGTTTGATCTATGGGGTGATTGTTCGCTGACCTTTGACCTAGAGAGAGATAAGCCGCAAATAGAGCTCAGTGTACTTTATTGACTAGAAACTTAACTTGCAGAGATTTGTTTAATAATTTATTTTAACACATTTTTATTAAAAATAAATTGATTTTGATAAGATTACAAAGACATTTATGAGTTAACAATCTGAATCTACCAGTTCCTGCTCTCGGTAGGTATGTATCATTGTTCACCTTTCTGTCGTTCTGTTTTTCTCTCTTCATCTCTCTGTCTCTCTCTATTTCTGTATCTGTCTTCTCTCTCTCTCTCTATCTGTGTCTTTTCATAGGAATATGATATTGATGATTTAAAGATCTTTCTAGAGAAATGACCACTTTTCACAGAATAAAAACTTTTTTTTAACAATTGATTATTGGTTTATTTTCCTGCTGTTTGGAAGTTCATGGTTTTTATCCTCTGTCCCATGTTTCTCCAGGTTCATTCTTAATTTAGTATTGATCAGCTAGTCTAAATCACTTTTCCTTGATCTGGTTATAGATCATATGATTCACAGACTTCAGTTAATCTCTTTGATTCAGATTAGGAAGTCCTATGTGTTGTGTGAACATAATTAACTTGAAAATCTGTGGAAGTTAAGAGGGAAAAAAAGACAGGAAAATGCAGTTATCCCACTGAGGTCCTGAACTACAGCTGGCTGGTCTCTACTGCCAGGTATGTGCTGAGTTGAGTAACTGTGTTTTGGGATGTGCTGTTCCAGGTGGCGGTCAATGGAGCCAACCTGCAGAACGTCTGCATGCTTCTCACCCTGGAGCCTCTGCTGGCCAGAAGCCCCTTTCTGGTTCTTCATGTTCGTAGAAATAACCTGGTTGGAGATGCCCTAAGAGAGCTGAGCATTCATTCTGATATCGATCTGAAAAAACCTCTCAAAGTGAGCTCCTTTAGTCTACTCCTCTAAGTACCTTCCTAGGTTTTCATTAAACAGTGAAAGTAGCAAAGATCTTCTTAAAATTGTGGAGAGCAGCCATTCATCATTTCTTTCATTCATTTTATAAGATTTAATCACCTCCTTTTGTCAAGTCACCAGAGTATCTGACATGAGGTAAAAATCACCAAGCAGAGAATGTAACATCAGATAAAAATGCTAGTGAATTATTAGAAGGTTCACAGGGTTTGTCTGTTTCTGCTGTCTTTGGTGTATTCTTCCTAGCCATACCCCAAATAAGCAAACAACAAAGTAAAGCTCCAGCTAGGTACAACTATTGAGCTATGGCCTAGGAAGGTTTCGATGTCATATCACAATGAAACCCCTTGTACAATAGTGCCTGCTAATAAAAAAAGATTTTAAGAGAAGGAAGATAAAATGTGCAAATGGAGAGGTAGTGAAATTTTCTAAGCTGTTGGCCTCTGAGGATAGGGAGGCTTGGGAACTAAAGTTGCTGAATGAAGAAATGGTCTCCTCGGGCCATGCGTGTTTGAGGTACTGCTTCCTGTGTTCCTGGGCATGGGATAATGCTTGGTATATAGCAGGTTATGTAGGAATATTTAGTGGATGTTTAAAAGTTGTTTACAGTTAGACAACTTCCCATTATTTTTTAGTTATAACAGGATTACCAACCCTGCTATAAACACCAGTTTTCAAAAGTAAGAGGCAAGAAATTGAATTGAGGGGGCAGGGGAAAGAGAGGGGATGAGAGGAAGGGGAGAGAAATGACCCAAACATTGTATGCACATATGAATAAAAGATATACTAAAAAAAAAGAAATTGAATTGAACTTTTATAAATACCACAGTGCACCTCCACCCAGCACAATGAAAAAATAAAGAAATCGAATTGATTATTTACATAACATTGTTACCCTTTCCAGAGTTTCTAGTAAGGATGCATATGGTGGTGTGTGCCTGTAATCCAAGTTGCTTGGGATGCTGAGGTAGGAGGATCATAAATTCATGGCAACTTAGAGAGAACCTGTCTCAAAATTTATAAGATGCTGAGGGCTGTGTGTCAGTGGTAGAGCACTTGCCCAGCATGTGTGAGACTCTGGGTCCAATCCCCGGCACTACAAATAAAATAGAATAAAATAAAATTCTAGTAAGTTCCGTTAGTCCCACCTATTTGCTTGGTTGTTCTCTGAAGAACTTCTGGGTTATATTTTTAACATTGCATTTTTTTTCCTACTGTTTTCAGTCAGTAATTCACATGGGGCTCTTGTTTTGTTACATGTCTGAATTAAATCTGCTGCTGGCCTCTGCATATCTGGAGTCCTGTGTCTGTCTCCACCTTTACTCTTACTCTGTTCTAGGCAGCCTTGAACACAGTCCCAATCATAAGCCTTCTTGAATGTCGTCCTCAGCTCTGGGCCTGCACCATTATCTGTAAAATGGAGATAATAGTGGTAATTCCTATGTGAAAGGCTGTTTTGAGGATTAGGTTAATTGTGTTATAAGTGCTGGCATGTGGTGAACTCCGTATCATTTGTTACTGGTAATGACCAGAATGGGTCTAGAACACCTGTTGACAACCTCACAGAGAGCCCATGTCTCTGACTGCTTAAAATGGCCTTCTCCCTTCCACATGTTTTAGTGACTTCAAGAACTCAACCTAGAGTGATTTCTTCCAGAAAGTATTGTTTTCCTCAAGTTAATCTTTTCTCTGTGCACCAGGACATTTACCTCTCATTTGCTACTTCACTCTTGGATGATCTCAATGTGTAGCCCAGACTGGCCTCAAATTTACTATGTAAACCAGGCTGACCTCAAACTTGCAATCCTCCTGCCTCAGCCTCCCAAGGGCTGGGATTACAGGTGTGTACCACCATATCCAGGCTTCTCTATTGCTTCTTTTATGTTTGCCTTACTGCCCTTACATATGTGGTAGACTCCCTATAGACAAATGGTAAACTTGTGAGTTCTTTGCATCCCTTGGAGCATCTATTAAAAATTATGTGGATCTATAAGGGCCTTGCTCAACATTTATGCCACAGCAATAACTGCAGATATGCCTTGTGATTTTTATTGCATGAATGTATATTTTCTGTTATATCTGCCTTCCTTTGTCTTGCCTTTAGAAAAGAACCTTCAAAAAAGAGATGAAACTTGCCATTGATTTCCCTGCAGTATTAATTCTGTTCTCATGATTTTAAGGTGATCTTCGATGGGGAAGAAGCAGTGGATGCTGGTGGTGTTACAAAGGAGTTCTTTCTTTTGCTATTAAAAGAACTTTTGAACCCCATCTATGGAATGTTCACTTACTATCAGGACTCACATCTCTTGTGGTTTTCAGATACGGTGAGTTAATAATGTCCCAATTAAACAGATGGATTGAATTAAATTTCTTTTTTGTTGTTAGACCAATTCCTTGATTTCTAAATTTGCTAATGGGAACATAGAAGAGATAATAATTTAAAATGTCTAAGTCATGTATCTCAAGTTCATTTTTAACCTGTTGCCAAGACCTCCTTGTACATTTTGCCAGCCATGAGCCCCCAGTGCTATTTCCATGTCTTAATATCTACAAAGGGCAAGAAGAACAGTGTGATAAAGAAATTGGTTTTATGGTATGTGAAATGTCAGTAGTCAGATGTGTCTTATTTTAAAATAATAATGATAATATACATATGAATATGCACATACACAGTTTACTTTTTAAAATTCAGTAGGAGAGTGAAGTTTTAAAAGGCATTCTTATTTCCTACCAGAGATTTTTCCCTGGACCTGTACTGTCCTAAAATGTAGTCATTAGCCACAGGTGGCAATTAAAATTAAGAAAAATAAAGGTTCATTTGCTCAGCATTCTTAGCTGCATTTCAAATGCTCAGTGGTCACATTTAACTAGTGGTTGGCACAAGGGGCAGCACAGAACAGAATGTTTGCATCATGCAGGAAGTTCTTTGACAGCTTTCTCTGTATCACTAGAATTGCTGCATGTGCTTGCCTTTGTCTGCATTACATCTTTTGGGAATAGTGAGACTTTAGTCAGGGGTGTTTCTCTGCCTCAGAATGCAGATATGAATGTTATCATTATTCCTTTATGTTGAAAATATTTTGAGTAGGTTGTAGAGCGTTTTGAGGGCTGTGGACCCTGCATTCCTTTTTAACACATTTGTTTACATCCTAAAAAGTGTTTTGTAGAGCACAACTGGTTTCACTTGATTGGCATAACCTGTGGACTAGCTATCTACAACTCCACTGTGGTTGATCTCCACTTCCCATTGGCTCTGTATAAGAAGTTGCTAAATGTAAAACCTGGCTTGGAAGACTTGAAGGAGCTGTCACCCACTGAAGGAAGGTACGAAGCTAAAAGACATACAGACAGGCATGGGGAGCTGCTCTGATTGCCTCTGGCACAGTGATTAGATATGGAAAATGACATGTGTACAGGTCTGAGTTTATTGAACCCGCATAGTCTACACAGCTGCTTGCTTGAAGCATTGCCTGTGTCACTGTAAGGACGGAGGTAACAAAAAGCAAAGAGAGGTCATAGCTGCCCAGGAGTACAAAATAAGCTCTGCTTTCCTTATCTTGAACAAAAAATGGAAACTTTGACACTGTCATGATACGGAGATAATGGGGAGGGAATATTGAAAGGGAGAGTTTAAAAAGTTTACTAATATGTAATTCACATGCCATACAATTGACCTATTTAAAATATACAATTCAGTGACTTTACTGTATTCACAAAGTTGGTGGCCACCACCATAATCATTTTTAGAATATTTTCATCACTTGAAAAAAAGGCACAAAAAAACTGACTATATCATTTGTCCTTACCCTCTGTCTCTACATCTTCCAGCGGCAGGTAACCACTAATCTGCTATTGATCTCTACCAACTTGCCCAGTCTGGTTATTTCATATAAATGAAACCCTGCAGTATGTGGTCCTGTGTGTCTGCCTTCTTTTGCTTAGCCTGTTGTCAAGGTCCATCCATATTGTAGTATTTCATTTCTTAAAATTGCCAAAGAATATTCCATTGCATGCATATGCCACATTTTTTTATCCATTCATCAGTTGATGGACATTTGGTTTGTTTCCACTTTGGGGCTATTATGAATAGTGCTGTTATGAGCATTTGTGTACAGATTTTATGTGGACATAAGTTTTCATAACTCTTGTTGTATATCTAGGAGTGGAATTGCTGCTTCATACAATAATTCTATATTTAGCCATTTGAGAAACTCTAGACCCTTTTCCCAAAGTAGTAAAGACATGTTTTATGTTACTCTTTTTCTGGCTATTAAAATCCCTTTTATTCTTGAGTTTCTCTGGATTGATGTTTGGGGAGCACATAAAAAGAAAGCTCCAGCAGGAGGGACTATTCTATTTTTATGGAGTAAGATACTGGTTGTAACTTGGAGCAAGGACTGAGAGTATAGATCAGTGGTAGAACACTTAGAAACATTCACAAGGCCCTGGGTTTGATCCTCCACACCGCCTATAATGCTAGCTCTCATGAGGCTGAGGCAGGAGGATCTTGAGTTCAAGTCAGCCTAGGCTATATAATGAGGGCTAAGGGTGTAGCTCAGAGGTGAAGTGCATGCAGCGTTCACAAAGCCCTGGGTTTAATCTTTGGCACTAAAAAAAGGATAAAAAGAAAAACACCATAAGGTAGAACAAAGGTGGGGAGTAGTTGTCTGTAAGGACCTTCTAGAGATGAGACTGTTATACCTCTCACTGAGGAACTATAAAGGATGGGAGGAGTGGGGACACCAAGAGAAGAAGAAGAATATTTAGAAGAAATATTTTTAAATGGCAAAAGAGACCCAGACAGTGAGCAACAGAAGTTGTGTGTTATTTATTTTGTCAGCCTGTATGAGAATTACATTTTTAAGTAATGAATTTAGCTGGTTAACTGGTAGCAGAATTCAGTACCACATTAGTAATTTTTATTCTCGGCAAGTCTTGATGGAATTGCAAGACTGGACTCACTAAAGAAGAAAGTATGAATGAGTCTAATTATAAGAATGTATTCTCTTGAGAGCTAAGATACGATCACTGTTGATATAAACATAGTTTTAAGAATACATTTCTTCAGTGTTGTTGAATGTTATAGGTAATAAAGTGTCTTTCTCATACAGAGCCTTGTGTCTTAATATACAAGCTAGTAAATGGTGCCCATAGTCCCTAAAGGCAAAATCTCAAATACTGAATGGTGAAACCCCCAAAGATCAAAACCCTCAAAGTCTAAAATTCTGAACATTTTACACACACCCCGCCGCCCAGGGTTAAAATCCCAACTGTTGAAATCCTGAAAGCCAAAAATCCTAAAAACTGCAATTCCCATGGGGGGCAGAGGCTATAGAAGAGGGATTCTGAGGAAGGGATTGATGCATTTTCAATTCTATGCAGGATAGTTGCATTATATTAGGTGCAGTGAATGAACATCTAGAAACCCAGTGAAGGTGTGTCCATGAGGGTGTTTCCAGGGGAGATTGGGGTAGGAGTCTGAATGGACAGCAGATGACGAATGCCCTTAGTGTGGCTGGGCTCCATCAAGTCAGCTGCCTGTGTGAAGTGGGCTAGTGAGAGCAAATACTGAGGACTGGTCTATCTCTGAGAGCAGGGACTGTTTTCTTCTGCTTAGGACAGCAGAACTTTAGACTTGCTGACTTTTAGACCCTAGAACCTACACTAGGGCCCTGCTATTTTAAATTGTCTGCATGATTTTTAAAAAAATTCTCTATGCTACATATTTTGTATTTGCATTGTTTTCAGTATTAAAGTTTAGATTGTGTAAAGACTTTTAGACACAGTCTGAAAGTGCAGTCGCATTGACTTTGTGTAAATTGTGCATGTATGTAAAAATGTTGAAACTTCCTCAGTAAAAAAAGAGACGTCCTTTTCGTTCATCTGTATTTGTAAAAGATAAAATTTCTCATGATCTTAGCTATTTGGGTGAATATACATGCTGCTGTGACCCATTGTGGGTTTTTTTTTTTTTAAGTGCTTCTTTTTAATGAAACAAATCCAAAAGGTTACAGTCAGGCTCAAGTTGTGCAGTTCACAGGCATGGAGAAAACAAACAAGACAATAGAGTTCAGAACAGTTGGAGTTAACCCAAGATCGGGTTGGACTTGCCACCAGGGGATTTCTCCTGGATGGCACTGACGTGGTGGTGGTGGGATAGTAGGAGGGGAATTGTGGTTTTTTATCCATCTCCTCAGAAGATTGGGTTGTTGTCCCTCACTGTATTTCAAATGGTTAGGGTTATAGAGTTAAGTTGAATGCTCATAATTTCCAATCATAGTGACATTTGTTTATGTATTTTACTTTTTGATCTATTTATTCATGAGTATGGCTTATCTGCCTTATAACCGTTATACTTGTGCACTGGAGTGTTTACACTTGCAAGAATATGTATATCATTTACCTGTTTTATTGTGTAAGGTGGCCTATACAAATTCTGTTGTATTTTTGTTACTCAAATTCCCCTTTAAAAGTGTATATAACTATCTTTTAGGATCTTTGTGTGCCAGGGATTGAACGAGAACCTTACATACGCTAGGCTAGCACTCTACCTTTGAGCTGAACCCCCACCTCTGAAGAATTTTTAAAATCACTTTTTCTAGAATTACTTTTTTTTTTTGGATTTTAGACTTTGGGGATTTTTGACATTAGAGATTTTGGTCTTTTAGGATTTCAGCACTTGTAATTATGGTGTGTTGAGTTATGTCTTTGGGGATTATGTCCCAAACCCATCATTAAGATTCCTAAGTGGATAAGGTGACTTGGTGGCTTTTTTTTTTTTTAATGATGGCAGGATTATTTTACTAATGCAGATGGGTAAAACCAGACTGTAAGGCCATTGCAGCACCATATTCTGATAGATACACTTCCAAGCAACAGCAGGGTTATGCAAACACAAGGCTGTCAGATAGAAATCCATCTGAATTTTTCCATAAATCTAGTAATGTTTATCCATAGGAAAAGAAGGCTATACAAGTTTACTGCTATAATTCTCTTCGTAGTATATGTATAGTCAGTCATAGAATGACTAGGAATCTTTTTTTATAGTCTGTCCTGGCTGATGAACTGGGCATGCAACTGAGGTAGAAACACTATTGCAATATTTAATTTTCTCTTTCTCTTTTCTGTTATTCTATGATTAGGAGTCTTCAAGAGCTTTTAGATTATCCAGGAGAAGATGTTGAGGACACTTTCTGCCTTAACTTCACGGTGAGAATTTCCATGTTTATGACTGTGGCTGTTCCATTAAGCTTACAGGTCATAAGTTACATTAGTTCTCCAAATCAGACAGCAAAATGTCTCTGACTTCTTTGAATCAAATTATTTTACTCAGAATATCTTAATTGTTATAGTTAGTAAATGTGTTGAATAAATAAGTCAATGATTTATCTCTGTACTTAGGAAAATTACCAAAATATCAATCCTCTTTTCTCCAGACATGTACAAGTTATTTATTTTCTACCATTCCAGTCATTTTTTCCTTGATTGCATTTACTGGTAATTTCTTGACTTAAAAGATGTTTTTTAAGGTGTTGATGTTTTCTGACTCAGATTTTATTCTGTCCTGAATTTTCTGTAGTTATAGTCATTAAACTACATTTATTCTTAAAGTAGTCATTTGGCTTTTCTAGAAAGGTAAGTGGTGAATGAAATTGAAACATGTCTCTTTTTTTGGGTGGGGGGAGGATGTACTGGGGTTTGAACTAGGCCTCACACTTGCTAGGGAGGTGCTTTACCATTTCAGCCACTCTGCCAGCCCTGTTTTACATTGGGTATTTTCAAGATAGGGTCTCTCAAACTGTTTGCCTGGACTGACCTCAAACTGCAATCCTCCTGTTCTCTGCCTCCTGAGTGGATAAGATTACAGGCATGAGCCACTGGTGCCCAGGTCTGAAACATGTCTTTTTCTGTTTTAAATGTAGATCTGCCGAGAAAGCTATGGAGTAGTTGAACAGAAGAAGCTGATACCTGGGGGAGACAGAGTGACTGTGTGCAAGGATAACAGGTTAGTGTTGACCTAGGGCTGCTGCAGACATGGCTCCTTTATTTTCTGGACTTTGACTGTAAGACCAGGATTGAAATTAGGTGATAGAACAAGAATTTGAAGAGTATAGTGAATTTTTAATCCAGTTTTGGGTTTAGGGGATAACTATTTAGCTCTAGATCTATATTTTATTGGATTTTACCCTGAGTAAGTCATATAAACTGTTTTTCAGTTTCAATTTTAATTTTCTCATCTGTAAAATGAGAATTATAATAATTATCCGGTGTGAGGATTCTCCTTGCCAGAAAGTTGCAATTCTACACCAGATACCAGCTCAGTGTCCTGTAATCCAGTCCGGTTCTGACTGACACTATTGTGTTAGTCATACTTTTTGTCGCTGTGACAAATACCTGAGTTTAAAGGAGGAGAGATTTATTTGGCTCATGGTTTCAGTAGTTTCAGTCCATGGTTGGTTGGCTCCAGCAGAACATCAAGGGGAGCTAGGGAAGAGGTTCTAAAGGCATATACGTAGTATGTACTTCCTCCAACCAGCCCCATCATCCAATAGCCCATTCAGTATGAACTCACCAATGGGTTAACCCACTGATGAAGCTAGCACCCTCAAGCACCTCTTATTAGTGCCACCACCAAGCCTTGAGTGTTTTTTGGGGCTTCATAATCAAACCATAACAACTATCTACCCCAGAGATAGTGTCAGATCCTCAGCCTGAGGGCTCAGTCTCCCAAGACACCCCTCCTTCCCTACTTCAGATGCTAATCTTAAGCCCAGGTTGTTTTACCTGTGCTTCTGACTCACAAGCATATCAGTCATTTACCAAACCCCCTCCTCAGGTTTGATTAATTTGTTTGAGCAGGTCACAGAACTTAGAAACACTTCTGCTTACTGCTTTGTTATATAGGACATTATAAAGGATACAAATGAAGAGATGAGTAAGGAGGTATGGGGAAGGGGAGCTTCCATGCTTTCTCTGGGCTGCCTTCCAGGAACCTCCACAGACAGGTTCACCTATGTGGAAGCTCTGAACTCTGTTCTTTTGCGTTTTTATGGAGACTTCCTTACGTGTTTAATGCTAAGAGAATGGGTGGGGAAAATCCAGCCAGGCCTGACTGTTCACAATCTTCTTGACCTTTATGTACAGCATTACTTCCTCCCAGGTGTGGGACAGGACCCCTTCTAAAATGGGGCTCTTATCCTCTACTGTCAGACAGGTAGGTCAGAGAAAGGTAGGGAAGACTAGTTTTTATGAATCACTTCGGGGACGGAGAGAGTGATAAGCTAGAATATGTGGACAAAAACAAAACAAAACAAATGTACATATACGCACAAATCAGAATATCACAAAGTGCTTACTTATTGTTATTTTACTCAGAATATCACAAAGTGTCTGCTTATTACTGTTATTTTACTGCTGAATAATTTATAATATAGGTTTTAAGCTAGTTTCTTTGCCTTTGAAAATTCAGGTACATCTGACTTTGTCAGCATGATTCACAATCTGGGTTATCTCTTTAGAGGAGAGAAGATGTTCGATTTTGTTTACTTTTGTATTAAGTTACGGTACTCTGCATCTACATTAACTCACTTTACAAATATTAGTGTCTACTAATATTTGGTGTGTTAGGCACGTTATAGAGGAAAGGAGAGGAATCACTTCTATCCCTGAGGCACTCAAGATGAGTTGAGAAGGGTCAGTCTACATGAATGATTGCAATAGATTATGGGATGTGGGATAGAGTTGTAGCCACATGCCATGAAACTAGGTGAGAGGCTACAAGGCTTTTATTAAACATGGAAGAATTTAAGTGCAAGATGGAAGGGCATTTTAGGCATGGGGAATTAATGTGAATGTGGATTTTCAGGGTTGACACATGATAGAAAATTGCTGAGTACTTTTGTGGGGGAAGGCTAGGACACAGATAGAGGGTGGGTATGATGGTTTCAGAATGGAGGTTATCAAGACCTTGAGTAGGACTTAGATTGAGATGTGGTTGATTTCAGTTTTAGAAAAATAACTTTGGTGGAAGTAGACCATGTGCAGGGAGTCCTGATAGGAGACTATTGGGTTAGTTCAAGTTAAGAATGGTGAGGGCCAAAATGAAGGTGGTAGGAGGAGAATGGGGGAAGAGTGTAGTTGGTTATGTGATGGTGATACAGTCAGTCAATAGGAGCAAGTATCTGGGTAGATATGAATAGTAATTGATAACGTGCAGAGGTTCCTAATTTGGACAATTGATGAATTAGGAGACAGTCTGTAAAGCAGGCATGAGGGATAAAAATTCTGATTTAAATGCTGTTTTGACATATCTGTGTAATAATCTAGGCAATTATATCTATAGCAGAAAATTTACATGAATCAAGTCTTGTGAGTATTTTGTGTAGTTACTTACACTAATCTCAGTCACTACTGAATTTGAGGTCACTTACAAGAACCACAAAGGAAGAAGTGGTGAACCAAAAATAAATAAAAAAACCAATGAAAATGTGTACCTAGGGGTGCTATACATTTAGAATAAAATGCAGAGCCTATGGGTGAGGATTTGAGCATCATCAGCACATCACTAGAGGTAAAGGTGCATGGTTTTGAGGAAGAGAAGGTGAGGCTGTCTGAGGGAAGCCTAGAGGAAGAGAAGATGAGGTTGTGTGAGGGAAGCCTTTGTAGGAAAGCCAGGTATCATTTCAGCTGTGGGAAAAGTTTTCAGTAGAGAAACCAACTGGGCTCTGTTTTAAAATGTGCCGGGGAATTATATAATTTCTAAATTAACTCATTGTGCTTTATTTGCCTTCTTTAAATAATTACAAAGATGCAGTCAAGAGATTCTGTGAAACTCACTCTCTCCAAGTGATCTGCCTTGATTTCCTTCCATAAGTCTTCCCTCTGGAAAAGAGCAGATAGAAACCCTGATAGACTTCTATCTTTTGACATTTTAAAGAACAGCTAGAGTCAGTACAGATTGACTGCCCTTTTCCATGAAGTTTGGGATCAAAAGCATTGCACATTTCTAAGATTCAGTTTTGGGACTGTTTGCATAGAGCATTCTAATCCAGAGGAACAAAACCCAGGACTTACTGAGGAGAATGTTGTGCTCAAAAAGTTGGAGATTTGGATTTTAGGTTAGGAATGTTCAACTTGTTTGGTCTAGTGCAACATTCAGTAACCATTTTTGTCATGTAAGCTTTCCAGACTGTCCCAGGAAGCTTGGCTTTGGGGAAAGTTTGAGCTAGAAGAGTGTAAGAGTTGAGAAAAGTGATACAAAGTGGCTTCAGATGATGAAGTTATCTGGAGACTTAATGTAGAGGCAAGTCTCAACTATGTAGATTTTGCAATCAATACCTATTCTGATATTAATCTCTTGGATTGAAAAGTAGTTTCTTTTATCTTTATAACATTGGTATTTTCATTAACAGCAGATAGGTTATTTTCAGGATTTTTTCTTATTAAGAATAAGCTTATTAGTCCATAGAGTCTGAAAATGGTTTTTGGTTTGTGTGTGTGTGTGGGAGGGAGGGCACTACTGGAGTTTGAATTCAGGGCTTTGTGCTTGTAAGGCAGGCACTCTACTGCTTGAGCCGCTCCCTTTTTGTTCTGGTTATTTTTGAGATAGGGTCTTGCTTTTTGCCCAGGTCCAGCCTGGACTATGATCCTCCTATTTTGTGCTTCCATCTGTTCCTGGGTTTATAGGTGTGAATCACCACACCCAGCTTTTGCCTGGACTTGCCTTAAACCTCGATCCTCCTGATTGCAGCCTACCAAGTAGGTAGGATTATAGGCGTGACTACCGGTGCCCAGCTGAAAATGTTTTTAGAATTAGAAAATTTATAGCAGATTTATAAAGTGGATTTGTTGTTTGTGATTATTTCTTTCTCCTCCTGGTTTTGGCAATTGCTTTATAATGTATGTATATATGTATATACATATATAGATACACATACAGTCACGCACCACATATGACATTTTGGTCAGTGGCAGACTGCATGTACAACAGTGATCTCATAAGATTGTAAGGGAGCTGTAGAATTCCTATCACCTAGTAGTTTGTAGCCATCATAGCGTTGTGGTGCAGTGTGTTCCTTGTGTCTGCTAGTGTAAGCAAGCCTACTGTGTGCTCCTGCCAGTTGCACAGAAGAATGGCACATATAGTTAGGTACAGATAGTTTATTTACGTATTTACCGTCCTATACTTTTGATAATTAGAGTGTGCTCCTTATAAGAAACAAGTTTGCTGTAAAGCAGTGTGTTGTGTCACACCGGGGCAGCATGTAGCATTTAATGATTGCATCAAGAGCCCACTTCAAGTGATTGTCCATCTAGACTTGTGTAGGAAGAGACTGTGGTGTTTGCACAACTATGAAGTCACTCAGTGTGTTTTGTAGAATGTGTCCCTTTAGCCTGTCACAGGGTGTCAGCTTTGGTATCAGGTTATTGGCAGGATTATGTGTGTCATTTGTTAGAAGGTAACAGAGGTAAGCAGTCTAAGGAGGGGGGCATTCAAAATGTCTCCTGCTCTGGAATCTTCACAGTGCTCTGTGTGGTTGGAGCATTGGGTGGGGAAAGTGATCTAACCCAGGCACAGGCAATTTGCAGCAGAGTCTACGGTTGAGGCCGTTGTTGGCACTTATAATTTCTCTTTATACTTTTATCAAATTATTTTTCTTAGCCTACATTTTGACTGTTATTTTTGTTCCTTATTTAACTCTGTCTCTGAGTTTGAGTTTTTCCTTTCTTTCTCTGCTTCTCCTCGCCATCACTCTTTCCCCTTATTCAGCAGACATTTCTTTGAATCAACAATTCAATTGAGTCAACACTGGCAAGACAAACTGTGTGGGAATACTGAAATATAACAGTTTGTTTAGGGTGATAAACTGTTCTCATATGCAACCATAAATGGAATGTGAAGACTAAATTGAGTGGTTAAGTCTGAAGGCGTTCAAGAAATCAGCTTGGGCAGCTGCATCTGGGAGGACAGATCTGGGGCAGAGCTAACTTTGGCAGCCTGCTAAG